CCCACGATTCACTTCTAAACGACTACTTTAATAATTCGTGTGTTTATACGCCGGAGGATTTTAGTAATCGTTTTCGGATGAGTCGTCCTCTGTTCTTACGCATACTCGCCGATGTTGAACGCGAGGTTCCTTGGTTCAACCAACGGTTTGATGCGAGAGGCCGACGCGGGTTTAGTAGCGTCCAAAAGTGCACTGCCGCGCTCCGTCAGTTGGCGTACGGGACGACATCCGATATGTTCGACGAATACTTAAAGATGTCTGCTCGGAGCATCAGGTCCTGTGTTTATAAATTTTCAAAAGCTATTATTCAAATTAATCATAAAAGATATTTACGCAAGCCTATAGCGAGTGACATCCAGCAGTTGCAGGCGAGGCATGCCGCTAAACACGGCTTTGTCGGCATGCTTGGGAGTATTGATTGCACGCATTGGGAATGGAAAAATTGTCCCACTGCGTGGCACGGTCAATTCTCCCGGGGAGATCATCCCAAGCCTACCATCATGCTCGAAGCTGTTGCTTCGAATGACTTGTGGATTTGGCATGCTTTTTTCGGTGTCGCGGGCTCGAACAACGACATCAACGTTCTCGATCAATCGACTGTTTTTGACGATTGGGTTAATGAGACCGCACCGGACTCCTCTTTTGAGCTTAGAGGGACGCTTTACAAGCGCGAATATTATTTGGCTGATAGGATATATCTGGATTATTCCACGATTGTCAAATCTCTCTCCGAACCAATGGGTCTTAAACGCCAAACCTACAGAAAAGCTCAAGAGGCGGCGAGAAAAGATATTGAACGAGCCTTTGGGGTCTTGAAGACTAAGTGGCACATTCTAGATCGTCCGTCGAAATGTTATTCTCAGACAAAAATGAGGAATATCATGTACGCATGTATTATTCTTCATAATATGATCATAGAGGATAACGGGTCTGCGATTTGTCAATACAACCCGGACGAGAAGGTGCCTATGTACGAAGAAATCACCGAAGAAAAGAAACGACGCAACCGCCAAGAAATTCGAAGCCGAGAGATTCACAATGCACTAACGGCGAATTTGATTGAGCATATCTTTAGTCGTTCGAATAATTAGTGATTTCTTTGTACTGTTGTTTTTTTTATGTAATTTTTTTTAATGAATGTAATTTTTTTTAATGTTTTTTTTATGAATGTAAGATTTTTTTATAATGAATTTAATTCTTTTTATGCAATAGTGTCATTGCGATTAATTAAAATAATAAATTAATTTAAATTTATAAATTTAAATTTAGAAGATGTATATTTAAAAATGTAAAAAATGAAGGTTCGAAGCCCCAGTTTGAAGCCTCGGGGCTTCAAAACCATTTCCAGTGAATTTTGGGTGTAAGTTAAAGCTGCGTGGCAGAGAGGGAAAGTTTGAAGCCCCGGTTTGAAGCCCCGAGACTTCATGACCATTACCAGTGCTCTTAGTTGAGAGTTAGAAATAGTCGCAAATGGGTTTAGTTTTCATTTTATTTTAAATTTTACTCCTACTTTGGGTACATAAGTTTGAGACTCCTACTTTGAGTATATAACTAATGATTTACTCGTATTTTGGGGTTTTCTTAATAATGATTTTCATTTTTTACACATCCTAAAATAGTTTCGCTTTCATTTTTTCTTTTTCCTCAAAATGTTTCCATTATTATTGACATTGAGGCTGAGAACGGCGAAGTTTACATTAGAGAGAGAGAGAGAGTGTTTCCTCTCCAAACTTTATCAATAGGGTGTATAGAAAATGAGGAGAGTTTACAATCAAATCTTTGAATTCTCTCACTACTTTCTAAACTCGTAACTCAATCCATTTCATGAAAATCAGACACGCGTAATTAATAACAACTATTTTTTTAAAATAAAAATTAGAATACATTTTCAAAATGATCCTTTGTAATAAAGTATTTTCCCAATTCAGTTTTCATTAAGTTCTAATTACCTACATGATCCTTTATAATTGAGATTTATTTCTTAGGTAATCATTTGTAAATAAAGTTACTTAAATAATACGGAGTAATTACTTAAATGGTATTTTGGCATTTTAATAGATTAAATTTAAAGTATATTCTCAAAATGTTCATTTCTATACAATTGAATGTAAAATTAAAATAATACATTGACTATTCATAATCCATTAATTATTTAAAACGTATAAAAAATCTTATAAAATTTGAATCAAATATACATCTTTAATTAGAAGAAACCGTTTTGGAAAAGTACTTCATTGGAAATGATCATTTAAGTAATACTACCTCCGTCCGAGAGTATTTGTCCACTTTCATTTTTACACACCATCCAATGCACTTCTTTAATCCATTTTATCTTGTAATTTGTATATTAAAAATTATAGAAATTATATATTAATAATCTATATGTTAAGGCAAATCAAACAAGATCACACATGACTATATTTAGGCTTACACATTGAGAGAATTTGATGAGTCAAAGTGCTTAGATGAACAGTTCCAAAAGTCAAAACTGGACGAATACTCTGGGACGGAGGGAGTATTATATACGAAGAACTACCTAGAGAATAAATCACAATTATAGAAGATCACATAGGTATTTAAAACTTATTGAAGACTGATTTGGAAAAATACCTTATTAGAGAGGATTATTTTGAGAATTTACTCTAAAAATTAGTTACAATTATTTTGTAATAAAAAAACCAATCATCCTCATCAATTAGAAAAAAACTTAATTGTCAATTATGTCTACTTAAATAATTTTATTTTGTTATGCTTATATTTTTAGTTTATGTAATTTTTATGTTATGCAATTTTATATTTAAAATTTTTAATGTTTGGCATCGCCTTAAGGATCAATAAAAATGGAGCCATTATACACTTCAATTATGTCTACTTTTGTAATTTTATTTTGTTTTAATTTTAGTTTTATTTTATGCACTTTATTTTTATGTGTGACTACTTAAATCATTTTAATAAACTGTACTCATTTTATTATATACTTCCTTCGTCCCAAATTAAATTCCATGTTTATTATTCACAAGGTCAAACTTCATTCATCTTTTTTTCCTATTTTTATTAATCATTTGAGAAGATAATATAATCATGTCACTACTAGTTTTGTACATCTTTTGATGTAATTTTTATATATGTAATTTTCATTTTTTTTAATTCTACACCACTTTCATATAAAATGATTTGAAAATAACTTCAGCCAAACATCGTAATCAAAACACGTGATTTAGATTAGGACGAAGGGAGCATATTTTATGTGTGTTAATTTTTTTTATTTATCTATAATTTTATGTTGTTGATTTTTTAATAGTTAATTATATTTATAAATAAGTTTGGTAGAAAAATCAATAAATAGTACAATTATATATTAGGTAACTGATTAAATAAAAATAAAAGTTAATAAAATATGGAAAGTCTAAAAAAGCCTGAGGAATATGGTAATTTTCTAAAAGGTTGATCTTGCAAGAGTCATAAAGAGTCTCAAGACTCCTTGCATTGGAGATGCCTTTATATTTCTCTCGTGACCTAGCTCAGCGATAAAGCCCAAAGTGATGTTGTGCATGTCACCTGCGGAGTGGGAGATTCGATTCTTAGCAATGAGGGATTGGTTCTCTCGTATACGATATATTAGCAGGCAAGCTTTGGGACTGTGGTTACCTGCGACACATCTTGCAATTTAATTCTTTCACCATCCACAAGGCACGAGGGGAGGGGCACCCGGAGTGGGAATTCCACGTTTGGTTTGGGGGTATTATCTTTTATCGAGTATTTTTTTAGGTTAGGCTAAACTAGACATGGCACATCAAAATCAGAGCTGATTAAAGTAACCGACTTATCCAAAAGTGAAACTGAAATGATCAGATTTGATCCGTAACCAAATGCCTAAAATGATCCAAACCGAATCGAAACCAAACTAGATAATTCATACCCGATTTATATTCGAAACTAATCAGACCCGAAACTCATCAGATCTGAACCGGTTAAATCCGAAACTAGTAATACTCAAAATCGATTATGCCTAAAATCAAAAGTACCCGAAACCAATAAGATTCAAAATCAATAATTTATAGTCCAAATTTGTAAAATATGACTAAAAACTCAAAAAGGAAAGATTATTTCGATTGAAGATAGTATAATTAGAAAAAAAAATATAAAATAATATGAGGTATCGAATTAATGATAGATTGATAAATGTGATATCGCAAAAAAGAAACATGGGATCACCCATTACAACTGCCAGACTAAGAGCTCATGAATGTGAGGCACATATCAACAAACTCACTATCAGAATCTCTGCGTGGGGGTCTAGACATTTTTCCTATTCTGCCAGAGTTAGACTTATTAATTCTGTGCTTATGGGAATTATCACTTTTTGGGCAAGAATCTTTATACTGCCTAAAGGTGTCACCAAGAAGGTTATGGCTATTTGTAGGAACTTTCTGTGGGGTGGGCCTGCTGAATATCACAAGGTACCTCTGGTGCAGTGGGATGAGGTGTGCCAGCTGAAGAAATATGGAGGGTTGGGGATAAGGAACATCATGAACTGGAACCTAGCTGCTATTATGAAACTTAACTGGGATGTTGCTGGGGAAAAAGACATTATTCTTTGGGTTAAATGGATCCATACAAGATACATTAAGAATGGTGATTTCTGGATGTACCATCCTAAGCTAGGCTCCTGCTACTACTGGAAGGAGATGCTTAGGGTGAGGAACAAATTCAAGGATATGCCACACCCTAAGCCCTATGAGATTAGGGAAGGATATAATTGGCTACAAGGTCTGGAACAAATTCACCCCTCCAAAATTCAGATTCATTATTTGGTTGTTATGGAGAGAAGGAAACTACAAACTAAAATGAGGCTGGCTAAATTCTTAAACATAGACACTAAGTGAGAGTTATGTGGGAGATAATGAGACACATGACCATCTTGTTTGGAGATGTGATAAGGCGAAAACAATAGGGCAGGCCATAATGAAGGAATTCAGTTGCTCTTTGAACTGCAATGCTGAAGGAGAGTTTGCAATGGAAATGCAGAAAGTGAGAGGAGGAAAAATGAGGAAAATGGCTATTGCTATATGGGCAACTGCTGTATACTTCACTTGGAAATGGAGGAATATAATGACCTATGGCATAAGAAGGTTAGAAGCTTAGAAGAGATCCAGAATCAAGCTATTTATTACATTAGAAGTTACTTTAGCTATATAAGAATCATGTAATCAAAATAGTAGTATAGGCAGAGACTTATTTTGGGTGGCTGTGGTTGTATTTTTGAAGTGGTAATGAAATCTTGTGAAGTTTGTGCAAAAAAAAAAAAGAAACATGGATAATTATATTTTAAATATAACATAGTATATATCCAAAACATATCTGAAACAAAATATATCAGAATTGAAATATATTTGAAACTGAAATAAATTCGAACCGAACTATATCCAAAACCGAAATATATCCAAACCGAAATGTATCCAATATCAAAATATATCCGAACTGATTTTTATCCGAATCGTATATGAATCAAACCGAAACTGAAAAATGTATGAAACCGAATCAAAACCGAACCAAAATTTAGCCATACCTATTCAAACCGAATCGGTTAAAATATAAATCCGGATTGAATACATCCAACCTAGAACTGATCCAATTGCCACCCAGGCTAAACTATTGTAATGATGATACTATACGATAGTTTATAATGCATCCCGGTAGAAATTTGAGTGCAGCTTAATTTTCAATGTTTGTAGGTTTACTTTTTTTTAATGCTTGTGGACGTTTTGTGAGAAAATTGTGGTTGCAGGCACTATCCTAGAATAGGTTTGTTCATTTATATTTACAAATTTTTTTAAAATGATGATCCCCATCCCTCAGGCCCCCCTTAGAATCGACCGGACGGTCACTGAGAAGAGATAAATTAGACTTTGATCGCAGACTGGTGGGAAAGAATGAATCTTGCACCTGATACTTGCAGAGATCCTATGTTTAGTATAGTTGCATGTCTCTTAGCGTTAAATAATTTAGGATTTGGTTTGTGGATTGTTGTTGAAAATTGTGGTTGCACTATCCTAGAATAGGTCACTGTTCATTTATATTTACAATTACAAATTTTAAATTTTATTAAAAGTGTAAAATAACTACCAATAACTTAGGAGGTTGTTTGTGGATTGTTGTTGAATATACATAATCATGATGTTACTTCTGTCACATTCTTTTCTTCACTTAACATGATTTATAATGAAGTGAAAAGTGTGTGATTCTAATTTGTGTACGTAAATACTCTTTGCGTCCAATAAAATACTTTAAATTTTCATTGTTTGACGTTCGAAAAGAACTTTACCTTATTTTCAATTTTTTTGTGCATACCATATTTCCTATTTTAGCAATGAATATGTGATTCAAAATAATTATCTCTTATCTTAAAAAAAAATTCTAACCACACTTTTTTTCAATAACTTATTTAGCTTCTTGAAAATCAAACGTAAACTTTTTATGGAACAAATAGAGTATTATAAGAATATGATGTATCAAAACTACCTTTCAATATGAATATAATAATATTAAATTTACATACTCAGGAGTAATAATTAAAATTCACTTTTTCCTTCCCTCTTACTATACTTCAACAATAAAACCCCATCAACTCTCCAACATTTTTTTTCATTCCATACTCATAAACAAACAAGAGTGACATATCCTCACATTCTCATCACTTGAATCCGACTAGCCATGGTTTCCAAAAGTAAAACGTCTAAGAATGTATGCATTATTGGTGCGGGCCCCTCGGGGCTCGTGGCAGCGAGGGAGCTAAGGAAGGAAGGACACAATGTGGTGGTTTTCGAGCAGAGCCATGATGTTGGGGGGCAATGGCTATACAACGGCCAAGTTCACGCAGAAGATCCCTTGGGGAGGGCCAAATTCTTGAAGGTCCATAGTAGCGTGTACGCGTCGCTCAGGCTCATATCTCCAAGAGAGATTATGGGCTTTTCTGACTTCCCATTTGTTACCAAGAAGGGGAGGGATCAGCGGAGGTTCCCAGGCCATGAAGAACTCTTGTCGTACTTGCGTGATTTTTGCGAGTTTTTCAAGTTGAGAGAGATGATGAGGTTCAATACAAGGGTTGAGTATGTTGGGATTATGGACGATAATACCCTCGAGCTCGAGAGCGATATTAGATGGGTTGTGAAAAGCAAACCAACGACGGGCAGCAATGCAAAGGTTCTTGAAGAAGTTTTTGATGCTGTGGTGGTGGCTTCTGGTCATTACTCTCAGCCAAGATTGCCTCAGATTAAAGGTTTGTGAGCCAATCTATTCATTCAAACATTACACTTATTTTATACTAATTTATAACCACACATGCATTAGGTTCTTGAGTTTCTAGACTTATATCCAGACTTCACACTCTAATTATCAGACTCTGAGATTCTAGATTTCAAAATTCGGTTAAAATTAAGGCAAAAAAGGACAGGCTCTTAGTCAACTAATAAAATGTGACAAATAATAATTAATGTTGTATCTGTCACACTTATGCTACACTTTTTCCTGATCAAAGGGATGAATGCATGGAGAGGAAAGCAAATGCATAGTCATATTTACAGAGTTCCAGAGCCATTTTGCAATGAGGTAATTAATAAGAGCTAATGTGAAAAAAAATGCTGTTGGATTGGTTTCCCAATCATTATTGGAGTGTTTTGCACCATTTGAATTGAGAACAAGACATAATGAGTACTAATGTGGCCAAAAGTGAGAACTTCAGGAATGTACTTTGCTTCCCTTCAAAAGAAAGCAGATCAGACATAATGTAAAAGCTACTGCATTTTACTTGGTTTCTTTAGATTGCAATCAAGGAAATTGGCCTACTTTACTCAGTATGGCTGTGTTTTGAAACAAACTCCAGATCTTCTCTGTGTAACTTTAAAACAAACCTTATACTCCCTCTGTCTCCAAATCAACTTTATACATTGACTTCGTAAATTTTATGAAAAATATTGAAAAGTGAAAAAGTTTTTTTTGGTGAAAAATGAAAAGTACTCCGTATGTAGTTGAAATTTATTTGGAAGAAAAATAATTAAAACTGTCCACATATTTACCTCGAATGGAAAGTGGAGAAGTGTAAAGATAATTTTTAAACTTACAAAAACGGTGAGTGTAAAGTTGATTTAGAGACGGGGATACAAATTTTCTAATCCCCTTGTCTCCTAAAACAGGTCCCGCTTCACACATTTTCAACCTTCTTGTTTTAGTAAATTTATAACTATACTCGTACACTATGTTTGGTTCAAGGAATTAGGAAGGAAAAGAAAGAAAATGATTTTCTCTCATTTTTCTCACAAAAAATGGGAGGAATTTGGTTTTTCCTTCCATTAGTACATTTTGCCTTCTCATTTTCTTTTCCATCCACTTTTCTTTTCTTTTCCTCTCTAACCAAACTAGAAAAAACTTTTTTCCATCTAATTTTCTTTTCATTTCCCTTTTAAATTCTTTGAACCAAACATAGTGTTACCTTTATTTGTTGGTTTACCCAAATATGAGGAAAACTGCTTTATTATATTCAAATTGGTCTCATTCTTTTCGGTATGGAGGGATTAATTTTTTACTGTATATGTTTTTTTCAGGTGGTTGTGGTGGTTGGGAACTCACTGAGTGGACAGGATATATCCATGGAGCTTGTAAATGTAGCAAAGGAGGTTCATTTGAGCGCCAAGAATCCTCATAACATTTCTGAAGGCTTGTCGAAAGTGATCTCGAAGCATGCCACCTTGCACATTCATCCTCAGGTGTATATGTAATAAACCTATACACACACAATATAACAAGAGTTAAAAGTTGTTTCTAACCAAACATGGAAGGAAAAGTTGTTAATATATATTGTAATGGCAAGTGCAGATTGAGTCATTGCATGAAGATGGGCTGGTTTTGTTCGTAGACGGCAGCTCCACTATTGCAGATACGATCTTATACTGCACAGGGTATACACGCTATTAGTATATACCTCCTGCCCTTTACAAAGTAGAATTAAAGACCAACCAATGACAAATACCTCCTGCCTATTTATGGTTTACGTTACCCGGTTAAAAAAATAAAAATACTATAACATCCCTAATTTTCCTAATCACTTTACCTCCCACATTCACGGGTGAAACTCTCTTTAAAATTTGTCTTAACTTGTGTGAAGTCCAAGTGGGACTTTAGTTTTGGGATGGGGGAGTACATGGCAATAGTTTCACCATATACTTACTTGGGGTGTGTTTTCAAACAAACTGCTTATGGCATTTGAGAAGTGCTTTTGAAAATTTTTAGTGTTGATTATTAGCTTTAAGTGCTTAAATAATAACTTTTTAAAGACAAAAGCATGTGGCTACATGCTTAAATTTCTATCAATTACTCACTTTAGAAAACTTTACAGTTTTACTTTTATCCCCACAGCATTTTTTCCTTGTGCTGTTTATGGACAATCATGTCTTTTACTCATAAATTAAGCACTTTTAATTTGTCATTACTCAAAAGCATTAAAGCAAAAAATTATACTTAAACATACAGATTTACAAACACTACCAACTTTTACTTTACTTAAATAATAAGCACTTATTTATCTCACAAAAGCAAAATGCAGAAATTTGAATTATTGAAAACAATATGTTCTGTTTGGAATGTATTTTGTCATTTTGATTGAGCACACCCACACGATAAGTATACATGAAAAAAACAGGCGGGGCGAGGTCCAAATGGTTCACCCTTCCTCTTTCCTCACTCCCACAAGGGATATACGGATATGCCCCATTGCTCCCGCGGGATTATCCCAGTAGGTACAAAGGTGGCAGAATTGGAAAAACAACATTCTTATTAAGAGCTTTAGGAGTAACCTTTTCTGAAGCAGTGTATAATAAAAGATCCATGTGGGTAATTTATGCTTGTGACAGGTACTCCTACTCCTTCCCGTTTCTTGACACTAAAGGAATAGTTGCAGTGGATGATGACAGAGTGGGGCCCCTATATGAGCACACATTCCCTCCTTCACTGGCTCCTTCTCTGTCCTTCATAGGCATCCCACGAAAGGTATATCTGCTAACTTCCCTGCAAAATTTAATCACAAGCACAAGAAACATGACTTGAACAATATTAGCTATATTTAAGACTATTTTCATAAACTTTTGAGGAGATTAATTGATTTTTTTTGTCATTCTTATATAGCTCATTGGGTTCCCTTTCTTTGAGTCTCAAGCAATATGGATAGCACAGCTTCTGTCCGGAAAGAGGACACTACCATCATGGGAGGATATGATGCAGTCCATCAGGGAGTTTTATAAGTCTAGAGATCTCGCTGGCATTCCTAAACATAACACCCATGATCTCGCGGATTTTGATGTATATGATTATCTTCCGCATATGGTCATTTTATGCACACTATGTGTGTTTCTACATTCTCGTAGTTACCTATTCTTTAACTATCACTCCAATACAATTTTATCAGTTCTAACAACAACAACAACAACAACCCATTAGAATCCCACGAAGAGTTTTATCAGTTCTAAATAAACGAGAAAATTAATTCCTCACTGCCATTATACCACTTAAATTCCAACAAGTTGGGGTAGGTGGCATGACATTTAGCGTCAATTTATTGAAATCATTTAAACCCTATAAATTCATGCAAACAAAACGTAGTACAAAAAGTTTATGCAGATGCCGTTCATGGAGCAACCTTCTAACGAAGGAATAATGACATGAAATTCTACAATTGTCATGATCATAGGCAATAGGTTATTGCCAATTGCATGAAAAATATCAGGCACAATGATTAGTCTAAATAGTTGTTAAAGTCATTTCCATTACATGATTGATAATATACTTTGTAAAATAAACATCCAAATCATTAAACTAATTGCAGCTCCTAATTGTGTATTTTGCAGTATTGTGATAAATATGCAGATTATGTTGGATTCCCACATCTAGAAGAATGGAGGAAGGAGCTTTGTATATCAGCTTTGATAAAATCAGAAATCAACCTGGAGACATATAGGGATGCATTTGATGATCATGAGATGCTTCAAGTAGCTTATCAGAGCCCCCATTTTGCTCAGCTCGAATGTCTGGATTATACACAGTAAATGCAATGAACAGAACATGCAGCATTTCTCCATTCAGTTTATGCAAGATTAGTTTTTTCCATCTGTTAAAAGCGACTATTAGACTGAAGTTCTGGAATATAATACTCCTGTTCAAGCACCAAAAAGAAGGGAAAATCCCACTGTTTCACAGCATGTGACAAAAGATTCATCAATATGATGTAATCAATGAAATCTACCTTCTACTTATTTAAATATTAAGGTTTTGCATATCTTGTATAAAAGGTGTATCCAGTCAAGATGCTACCACACAATGGGTATTGGGATCTCGGGAAGCGATAATCTAGGCCACCTTTCCCTTTCTTCTTGCAAGGAGGCCATTTCAAAACATGGTTAATAATAATGATGATACAACAAACTTTGTATAATCCCAACTCCATTGGGGTTAAGGGTCAAGATGTACACACCATTACCTTTGAAAAAAAACTGATGGCTTCCATTAGACCCATGAGACATTAACTGCATTGATTGCCTAATGCTGTCATCGCCACAGTGCAAGCATAAATAGTCTTGCATGAGACCACATGCACCGAAGAAACACACAGCCTAAATCAGAATATGTTAAGGTATATTTTTGGGTATATTTTTGTGAAAACTTGCAATCCATATAAAGGAAAGATACATTTATCTTTCAGATTTCCTCCTACATAAACTCATCTTGTTATCATGGAATCCTCAAGGTAATTATATCTCCCAGGCTCAATGCTTGTAGGAGTGTTGTGCTGTGTTTTTATATCTCCTCACATTAGAAAATAAAATATGATTTTTTATATTAAATACTAAGTAATAAACTAATGCGGACATATTTTCCATAATCTGTCAATAAGCTTCAAAACCTGGCGACCTTCACCAATGTCACCACATTTATTAAGCATGGCAGAGTAGAACTAGTTGCAACACAAACATTAAACTTGTCAATTATGTCATCATGAGCTCAATACCAGGGGTCCATACCACCAAATGTAATTAATATTCCTTGGTACAAGTAATATACTTTGCATCAGATAAATAAGAATGATAACTGTATCTGATCCAGCTATTCAACTTGAAATCATGTGGTGGTAATGTTTTGTGTGTCGTGTGTATGTGTACCATGCGTATGTGACATTAACAGAAGATTACAGTGGGGAGAAAAACAGAAGACTCATAATGACTTCTCTGTGATGATCACAATGTATTTTCGCTATTAAATATGTTGTGATCATCTTTGTATCTTTCGTTCACACTGCTTTTGATTTTTATTGTAAAGAGTTTTGTTTTTCCACCAAAAAACAACTCCAAATAATAATTGTATTATTTTGAGAAATCAAAACTGATATCACCATTGTATACTCATTCTTTGTTCACCAGTTTAGCAAATCATACACAGAAATGGCGATCAAAGTATGCCAAAACACATACTGTGGAATCTGTTGCTTAGGGCATTACAGTTTGTAGGCAGTCTGCCATGAGGTTTATACTACATTATCAACATCTGCACTTCTGAGAAAACTGGTTTGCCCAACAGACAAATAATATTCTTCATGATTCGTACCCAACAAAAGAGCTACAGCTGTCAAGAATATCGGGCAAGATTTTGAGTTGTTGAATAGTTTTCAGCCCAAAAGCTGCACAACATAAACCATATACTTCATCCTTGAGACAATCCCATAAAGTAATAGGCCAACTTATGTGAAGAGTAACATGAATTCTGTTTGCGAGCTGTGATGGAACAGAGCAGATTGCACTGGAAAATAATAGCTGCCGTGCACAGATAGACGTAAGCAAGCTCTACGAAAATAAATTGTCATAAGTATAGAGCATGGAAAATAATATCTCTTGTGCACAGATGGACTTAGAAAGCTCTAGGAAAATAGATGGTCAGATGTAAAGAGCATTCACATGTAACTAAGAAGCGTCTCCATGATTGCAGTTCCGTTAACAACACATAAGATCTTTTCTTGAGCTTTGCATGTCTAGTCACCCTTACAGCAGCTACTCTTCTACCAAATAGGCCTCAAAGGAACCAGAGTGAATGTGCTACCAATAATCTTTGCATGAACAAATACCTCCAGCAAAATGGTGAAAGAGATATCTATCCCTGACAATAATATTCCTTCCATAAACTGCAGAAACAAGCTTAAAGAAGTGATGGCAGTCCTGGCAAATCCTTAAATTTTTCATTATCCTTAGAGTTTTGTTTGATGATTTTAGAAGCCCAAATGCTAATGCAAGTTTCTCACTATGATATATCAAATTATGCTCCTTCTCCTCTTCCTCAACATCATACAAGACCATTCTCGTGTCTGCCTCATAGCCAGCAAATTTTAACTTTTCTTTGACTTCTGCTAACATAGTGTGAACATTCTCGTATCCTGGACCAATTGAATCTGATGCCTGAAATACATGCATCGCATTCTCAATTTCAATTGAGCTCCAACCAGGGACCTTTCTGATTCCTCTGTTAGTCATTAGGTTCCTTATTTCTCCTACTTTGGCCCACTCTTTATCATGAACATAAGCATTTGACAGCAACACATAATTATCTGCATTTTGTGGTTCCAGCTCAAGAAGTTTTTGGGTTGCAAAATCACCTAACTCTACATGTCCATGAAATCTGCAAGCAAAAAGTAATGCCCTCCATATAACAGCGTCTGGTTGCATATTCATAGATTGAATTGTCTCCAAAGCTTCATTCAAGAATCCACCGCGACCAAGTAGATCAACCATGCACCCATAATGCTCAATCTTTGGTTGCAACCCAAACTCATTTCTCATTCTTGCAAAAAGCCATCTTCCTTCTTCAACAAACCCTTTGCGACAACAAGCACACAAAACTCCTAAGAAAGTCATTCCATCAGGCTTGAAATTTTCCATCATCATCCTATTAAAGGATTTCAGAGCCATCTCGCCTCTTCCATTCATGGCATATCCTGATATCAAGACATTCCATGTGCGCACATTTTTCACTGACATTGCCAGAAAAACCTTCTCACCGGCATCAATGTCGCCACATTTAGCGTACATGTCAATAAGTGCAGTGCCAACATATACATTCAGCATCAAACCATTATTTACTATGTAATCATGAACCAATTTCCCTTCATCCAAAGCTCCCAAATGCGCACAAGCACACAAAACACTAGACATAGTAACCTCACCTGGCTGAACATTGCTCCCCAACATTTCTCGGAACACATCAATTGCCTCCCTAAACTTCCCAATATGTGAATAACCCGAGATTAACGAATTCCATGAAACCATATTTCTTTCCGGCATTTGATCAAATAGCATGCGAGCATCCTTGCATTTCCGAAACACACAGTACATATACACAAGGGAAGTGTTTGCATAAATATCTGACCCGAAACCCAGTTTGATTGCACTAGAATGTACTGATTCCCCAAATCCCACATAAGACAATTGAGCAACTGACTTAAGGACGCTTGGAAACGTCGAGTTATCAGGTCGAACGTCTAGTCTGTGCATCTGGGTATACATGAAAACCGAGTACGAGTGCTTTCCAGAATCTGTATATCTTCTGATAATGCAGTTGTAGTTCTCAACATCAATGAGATGGCCAAACTGATCAAAGAGAAAGGCGGATATGCTGAAACCCCGAGATGGAAGAGAAGTGTCCAGAAGCTTCGTGAAGGATGAGTGGCTAAAGGGCGTGTCTCTATCTATCATTAGAGTGTTAATTTGGACAGGTTCAGTGTGTTCTACCGATGATTCTATCAAATGGGTAGGCGGCAATCTAGCCATTTCCGAGGGTTGGAAGCCTAAGAGATTAGCCGATGAACCATAACGGCCCGCAGCAGGAAGTTGCTGGAGTAGACACAGTGATCGTTTCATGCTTTGCTTTGCTTGGGTAGACGAATTTTCACTTGAGTTTTATATAACTTAAATGAATCAAGAACGAATCCAGGGCAGTACGAGTTAAAACTTGTAACCTAAGCAATGTCATTCAAGAACTGCAAATTGGCTGATGAGATTACCCATTCCTTGTTGGCAGGGGAGTGTGTTCTTCATCCTCTTCGCCATGACCTGAGCTTCTTGTGCCCCCATCATATCACCCCAGACCAGAGACCACACTTTGCACATAGCCACCCACCCGTCGAAGACAAAAATGCCCTAGGGATTGTTGTCGTCCGTGCTAAGGGCACTTCAGAAGCGGCGCTCTTCAAACCAGGGCTTCCATGTCATCTCAGCTTTAATTTACTCACTTGAAATGGGTTGAAGCCTCGGGACCGGGGTTCAAATAGGGTTCAAATCTTTATTTTTTATATTTTTAAATAAACATCCCCTAAAACAAAATTAATAAAATTTAATTATTTCATTATTCAATTAAATTGAAATGAGAATAATTCAAAAAAAATGCATTCATTAAAATAAAAAAATTAAAGCGACAATAATTTTAAAAAATTGCATTCATGAAATTAAAAAAAATTAAAGCGGCAATAATTTTTAAAAAAATACATTAATTAAAAAACTAAGTTAAATTATATTTAGCCTTGATCTCTTTTTGTCTTCTCTCGAAGATCATACGTTTGAAGCCCGATAACGTATCAAGGTCGATTTCCATTATTTCGATATCTTCCTTCTCTTGCTTTCTTCTCGCCCTCTCTTATTCTCGAATATCGAACACCCGAAGTTGTTCAACCATTGCCCGACCGATATCGCCATGAGAAGAAACAGAAACAGAGTCGGACCCTCTAGAACCCGAGGCAATGATTTTACCGTTTTTCTTCGAATCGGCCGTGGAATGGGGTCCTCGTCATTAGAATCGTCAACGTTGAAGGGAGACCTTTGTTCGGACAAACCGATAGTGTCATCGACCTCAACCGGCGTCGGGATTGTTGAGTTGTTGTCATTTCGGTGAACAGCTTAAAATTCTCCAAAAATTGATGGGAACCTTGCCTTGGTGCCCGTCGTCTTGATACCGGGTCGTGGCAAGCCGGAGAACATCAGCGTTGTTCGTCCCGCTCTTCCGGGAGTGAGTGCAATCCTCGTAAACTCCGATAAACTTTCGGACTTTACGGTTGATGTGGCCCCATTTGGAAGTGAGTTGGTCCCGGGTACGGTATGAGGCATCCTTGTTCATCGCCGCAAAGAACTTCTCCTCGATACGATCCCACATCGCGTCCTTCGTTTGCTTCGAACCTTTAAAAAATATTTGATTGAAGAAGTTTTTTTAACACAAATATGTAACACGAATATATAAATAAGAACACATATATATTAGAAAACCTATAATTTTTACCAACGATAGGATGCTTGGAGACGTCAACCCAAGCCAAAGCCAACAAGCACTCTTCCTCCGGCTTCCACTTTTGGATCGACCGTGCCGCCTCGGTCATCGGTTGAGTGCCTTTCGCTTTGTGACTTTTCCGCCGTGTACTTTTTTTAGTTCCCGATGGTTCCAGTTGAGTCTCCGGAACCGACTCCCGCTCATAGAGGTACGCCGATGGTTGCGTTTTGAACAACGTTGGATTACTCCCGTATTGTTGGAAGATCCACATGGCGTGCTCATTAGGCCTGAGATCGTTGGGGGGAAAGCCGAAGCCGGAGGGAAGAAGATTGAGAATTGGAGATTAAAGAAAGGAAAGATATAAAGAAGATTGAAGGATTGAGTTTGATATTTATAAAAAAAATAAAGAATTTTTTTAAATGTTAACGACTAAATTGGCCGTTGGGGGAGGGGGAGCTGCGTCAAACTTTTGACGCGGGGAAGTGATGCCGGTGTTAGTTCCATATTATGTTGGCATTATTTTTTGACAAACGAATAAATTTACCTAGAATTATTTTAAATGTTTTATTTAGACTTAGAGTCCTAGCATGTGAAGGAAGCGAAAGAGGAAAGAGCTGCGCTTGAAGAGATAATTCTAATCCTACTTGAATGCTAATCCTACTTGGTTTACTATTCTTAAGAAGGAAGTCATGGTTGAGACTCCTAAGCACACTCTAGTAGGGTTATTCTATTCCATATATTATCTTTTCCCTACCTTAGGGTTTTGGTGTGCAAAAATACGAATCTTCTGTTATCAAAGTTACAATCTACACATTGTCGCTGATTTTTTTGCAGAAAACGTAGCTCTGGTTTTCTTGATGGTTGGAGTACCAAATCTTGTCTGATCGTGCTAAAATTTTAGGAGGAGTCTAAGGACTCGTGGAGCTTCAATCTGAACGGTGGAGATCAAATTCCAACGGTCCAAACTACGTGAACAAGTCTGGTGTCTTTCTTATTGTTTTTGCTTTATATTCTACGTGTGTGTTTGTGACAGAGAAGATGTTATAGCACTTTGTCTGTCATCTGTTACTGTGACAGTGCTGCAGTATCTTCTCTACAGCATAGTTGTTTGATCTGTTTGTGTAGCATTCAATTGGTGATTTCCGTTGCACCCCCACAAACTTACAATTGGTATTAGAGCCCGGTAATCTTAATTTGCTAGCTTGATCGATCTATCACCATGGGAGATATTCAAGAAGGTTCTAATGCTTTTAGACCTCCACTATTATGCGGCTATGATTATCTTTTTTGGAAGTGTCGAATGAGAGACTTTCTCAAGTCTCTTGGTGGACATGTTTAGAGAAGTATAGAGGTTGGATGGTCAGTTCCTACTATGACCAATGGAGATGGAGAACTAATTCAGAAACCTTATTAAAGATTTAGTAAGAAAAAAAAGGATGCTGCAGAATCAAATGATCAAGCCTTGAATGCAATCTTTGGAGCGGTTGATAGAAATCAGTTCCGTCTTATCTCAAATTGTACAGAGGCCAAGAGAGCTTGGGACATTTTGCTTATTACTCATGAAGGCACTACAACAGTCAAGACAACCAAACTTCAGATCGTGATGTCTAAAATTGAAAAAGTGAACCTTCTAAATTTTGATTATTGGAGTTGAAATAAGAAGGTTTTTACGATTAAATACGAATAAAATTCGTAAATACATTTTACATTAAAAATACATGTATTATACGTTTGTCATTTGAAAAATTTGTATTCGAGACTATACGTGAGTAAGGCCCCGTTCCGTTCAACTTATTTTTTCTTATTTTTTCTTATTCTTATTAAAATCAGATCAGATCAGATCGAATTAGATCAGATCAGATCAGATCCAATCAGATCAGATCAGATCCAATCAGACCAGATCTGATCTGATCAGGACTTATTAAAATCAGATCCCATCAAGAATTATTAATATTATTATTATTATTATTATTATTATCATTATTATTATTATTATTATTGTTCTTAAAAATGAAAAAGAATAAACTTTAGAAATAGGTTAAATAGAAAACTGAGAAAGTATAGACGTCATAAAAATTAGTTTTAAAATACATTGACAATGTCAATGTAATTCTACTTTTAAAATATATTTTTATTGCTACTTGTAATTTGAGTTTCTAAATTTTTGATCTTTTATAAGGATGAGATATTTTAATAAAAATATTATCTATTCTATATATGGATTATCTAAATTTAATTACTTTTTAATGTATATCTAAATTAAATATTTATTCTAATGTATATATGAAGTAATTATTAAAATATTAAATTAATGTTCTAATTTCACAAAAAAATAATCATAAATAAAAAATATTATTACATTATAATATGAATGATTATTCTAATATATGAATTAACTGATTTTATTTTATTAAAAAATAATCATTAAATAAAAAATATTGATTATATTATAATATGAATTATCATTACAATTTTCAAACGTTATTATAAAGTCAAATCAAATTATTGATTTGAAATTTTAAATTAAATCATAATTAATCAGATCATATCGGATCAGATCAGATCTAATCAGATCAGATCCAATCAGATCAGATCCATTTAGATCCAATCAAATCAGATCAAATCAGAACTTATTAAAATCAGATTAGATCAGAAAAAATAAGTTGAACGGAATGGAGGCTAAGGCTCCGTTCCGTTCAACTTATTTTTTCTGATCTGATCTGATTCTAATAAGTTCTGATCTGATCTGGTCTGATCTGATCTGATCTGATTGGATCTGATCTGATTGGATCTGATCTGATCTGATTGGATCTGATCTGATCTGATTGGATCTGATCTGATCTGATTGGATCTGATTGGATCTGATCTGGTCTGATCTGATCTGATCTGGTCTGGTCTGATCTGATTAATTATGATTTAATTTAAAATTTCAAATCAATAATTTAATTTGACTTTATAATTTTATAATAATTTTTTGATAATTTAATTTAATTATCAAAAAATTTAAAATCAATAATAATTTTTTGATAATTTAATTTAATTATCAAATTTTTTTTTGATAATTTAATTTAATTTATAATAATTTAATTTAAAATTTCAAATCAATAATTTAATTTTTAATTTTATGATAATTTTTTTGTATAATTAGAATTATACATTAGAATAAATATTTAATTTAGATATAAATTAAAAAGTAATTAAATTTAGATAATCAATATATAGAAGAGATAGTATTTTTATTAAAATATCTCATTCTTATAAAAGATCAAAAGTTTAGAAACTCAAAGTACAAGTAGCAATAAAAATATATTTTAAAAGTAGAATTAGATTGATATTGTCAATGTATTTTAAAACTAATTTTTCCGACGTCTAATAATTAAGGATTACTTTCTTAGTTTTCTATTTAACCTATTTCTAAAGTTTATCCTTTTTCATTTTTAAGAAAAATAATAATAATAATAATAATAATAATGATGATGATGATGATGATGATGATGATCATAATAATAATAATAATAATAATAATAATAATTATAATAATAATAATAATAATAATAATAATAATATTAATAATAATAATTCTTGATGAGATCTGATTTTAATAAGTCCTGATCTGATTGGATCTGATCTGACCTGATTGGATCTGATCTGATGTGATTGGATCTGATTTGATCTGATTCGATCTGATCTGATCTGATTCGATCTGATCTGATCTGATCTGATTCGATCTGATCTGATCTGATCTGATCTGATTGGATCTGATCTGACCTGATTGGATCTGATCTGATGTGATTGGATCTGATTTGATCTGATTCGATCTGATCTGATCTGATTCGATCTGATCTGATCTGATCTGATTCGATCTGATCTGATTTGATCTGATTTTAATAAGAATAAAAAAAAATAAGAAAAAGTAAGTTGAACGGAACCGGGCCTAAGTGTATTATACCCGAATAAGGTAACTAGTACGCTCAAAGGATGGTAAGATGTCTCGGGCCATACGCGCGATCGCCTCCAGTCGAACTACAAGGAAAGGGCTAGCGGTCATTCATTATTTTCATTCCTGCAATTTGTCTTTTTCTATATCTCCGATTAAAACAGCCGTTTCTTCTGCTTCTGCGATTTAATATTATTCCGTTTGCGACCTAAATCCGGTTTCGGGCAAATGTCTATTTGTCTGATCTGTTAATCAAAAAGATAAATTTTTCTTTGATTTCTACAAAACCAAGTGTTCAACCTTTTGATTCCAGAAACTCGGGTTTTGTGTTTGTTACTTTGTTTATCTTTATAGATTTTATGATTTTTGTATTCTTTGTGTGTTTGTGCCAGAAACAAAATTTAAGAATTGCTCTTATGAAATTTGATGAATACATCAAAATGAAGAGCTAGCTGAAGTACAAGTAGAGGAGCTAGCAGTATTAGAAGGTGAAATCCTAAGCAGCATGCCAAGAACCTCTTTCATATTTGGCCTAGATTGTGGTACCTCATTGGTACACAAAACCCCAATCCTCAACAAATCCCACATTTCCTCTGCCCCATCCGCCAATCCGGTCACTAAAAGACCCGTTGGCGGCGATGCCTCGCCGGAATATTCTTGTTGGCCATCATCCCCCATCACCCGCCGCGCCCATTCCAACAAGCACTCTTCCCCTCCTTCGTCAACCGCCCGCCTTGCCGTTGCTAACTCCATGGCTACCACTCCGTAGCTGTACACATCTCCTTTTGTCGTTGCTTGCCACGTCTGCCCGTACTCGGGCGCGATGTACCCGACCGTCCCGGCCACCATTGTGGTGACGTGAGTCTTGGCCACGTCCATGATTCTCGCGAGACCAAAGTCCGTGACGCGCGCGTTGCCCTCCCCATCCAAGAGCATGTTGCTAGCCTTGACATCTCTATGGACTATGGGAGGACAACACTCGTGGTGCAAAAAGACTAAGGCACGCGCCACGCCGATTGCAATGTTTACACGTTTTTGCCAAGGTAGTGCGGTTGGGTCCACAATGAGTGTGTCCAAACTACCACCTTCTAAGAACTCATAGACTAACAGCTTTTCGGAGCCGTAGTGGGACCACCCGTAGAGTATTACAAGGTTGGGATGAGGCCATCCCAAGCCATTTCCACTCAACACTTCCATTTCGGCTTTGAATTCTCTTTCTCCCTCAATGCCTTCCCTCTGGAGCTTCTTCACTGCCACTTCTCTCCCATCTGGAAGGACCCCTCTGTACACTGTTCCAAATCCTCCCTGTCCCACGATCCTGTCATCCGAGAAGTTCTCAGTAGCTTTCAAGATGTCGGAGTGCGAGAATGATGTTTTGTCCATGCGAATAATTTGTACGGTATTTGATAGCCAAGGTGACGTTGAATTGCCAGAGGTCCCCCCTTTTGTCTCCTCCAACAAGTGTCCTGGTGAAGAATCCATTGGTGATTTGAAGACAATGCAGACAATAAGGGTCATGATTCCACCACACAGTAGAAATGCAAGAGCCAGTGCAGCAAGCACCAAAAGTGTGACAGTTTTTGTTGGCTTCTTTACCTTGTCGGTCTTCTTGTTCTGGGGATGATCGCCGGTAGAGTTCAACATGAAAGATGGTAGGCGTAGCAAAGGGTCCCCTAGGAATGACCATTTGTCGAATGTTGATAGCTGCCTCATGGGCGGGACTTCCCCATAGATGTTTGGGTTGTAAGAGATGTTGAACTTGTTGAGATCTGTCAATTTGGCCAAGCTACTGGGGAATGCACCAGAGAAATTGTTGTTTGACAGATCAAGATTCTGTAGGCAGTTTATGTTCCCAATTTGTGACGGAATACTCCCTGAAAATTTGTTACCTGTCGCGTTGAGTACAATCAACGGCATTCTGCCAACCTCTGATGGAAATTGCCCATTGAGATGATTCTCCCCAATGTGAAGCATGCTGAAATTCCTCATTTTACCTATATCAGATGGGACCGAACCAGACAGATTGTTCCCGCAAAGTTGCACGTAACCGGTTGTCTGATACTTACGGATACTACTCCCGAGCTCACAAACCGGGACAACACCAACACCCTTAAGTAGCAAGTCCCATAGATTTCTGCAATTTTTTCTACTCAGCAGAGGATATAAAAAGCTGAAAGGTGGATAATCAGCTGGTATCCATCTCATCATGGCAAGGCACTCCCCAGATCCGGGCGTGATCTTATCTTCCTCTTGGTTTAACAAGAAAGTTGGCTTTGGGTTTGATCCAATATTTGCTAGCTCGCGAGGGATCGAGCCAGAAAGCTCGTTCCTCGCGAGATTTAGCCACAACAAGCTGCTGCAGTTCCCTAGCTCAGATGGGATATCACCTCTCAAGGAGTTGTTTGCCAGCATTAGCCACAGAAGTGAGGTTTGCCTCCCTATGGTCCGAGGTATCGTTCCGTTTAGGCTGTTGGAGGAGATATCAAGTGCTTGGAGGCCAGTTATGTTTCCATATTCAGAAGGTATCGGGCCTGTGAATTGGTTGAATGAAAGAAACAAGAACTTCAAGTTTGTCATCTGAGAGATCTCAACAGGTAAAGGACCAGAGAAATCGTTGTAGCTCAAGTCCAACCCAGAAAGGTTCACCAGGTTGGTGATTCCGGATTCAACAATCCCTCCCGTGTACCGATTCTTGTGCAGCAGAAGGTACCTAACCTGTGTAAATTCCCCGAAAACTCGTTGAATTTTGCCCTGAAACCCGTTTTCGCTTAGGTCCAGAGACAGTAAGTTGGGCAGACTAGTTAGCGTTTCTGGAATCTGACTTGAGAAACTGTTGCTTCCCAAGTACAATGCTTCGAGACTCTGAAGTGATCCAATCTCGCTAGGAATTAAACCCGAAAACTTGTTACCAGACAGGTTTATAACTCTTAGCTCCTTACAGTTTGATATCTCCTTAGGCAAAAGACCGGAAAAGTTATTCCCTGATAAATCCAGGGACTGCAGGCTGCAACTTTGGCTAAAAATCCACCCGGGAAACCCGCCCGACACCTTGTTTTCAGCTACTGAAACCTCTTTGAGCCCATCAAAACCCGAAAATGAATCCCCCGTGAAATTGTTATAGCTCAGGTCAAGATACTCAAGTTTCCTGCATTTCTGGAAGGCGTTTCCGATTTCGCCCTTGAACCGGTTGTTTGAAATATTCGCGACCACCAAAACATCACATGCTCCGGGAAGACTCGACCCGATTTCCCCTCGAAAGCGGTTTGTAGACACGTCGAGAACCTCCAACCTGTCTAGGGCAGTGAGATTGAGCTGCCCATCAAAGATGTTATGCGACAGGTTCAAGAACCTTAATTTGGTCGCGTGTTCGGTCAGGTCATCCGGGATGGGCCCACCGATCGTGTTGCTGGACAGATCCAGATGCGTTAACTCGGTTAAGGCAGAGAAGTTCCGGAACATTCTCCCCGTCAGGTAGTCCCCGGAGAGGTTTAGTGCGGTTACACGTCCCCAGAGGCACGAAATTCCAGGCCAGTTGCAGGGTGACACGTCTGCCGAATCCCATTTTGTGTACCTTGATCCTCTGAAGACAGGGCTTTGCTCCTCAATAAATGTCTTCAGCTCCAACAAAACATCCTTGTCTGTACAATTCACAAGCCTACCACCTATTGTTTAAATAGCAATATGTGTCAGCAGTCTACACTATTGATTCCTAAAGAAGAAAAGGAAACTCCAAAGAGTGAAAAATACCTATGAAAATCAAGAAAAAGAAACTGAAAATCATCTGTCCTGGCATGATCTTCGTGAGCTCGTTACGTTCTTCGGTTTCGTCTCCTTAAAGAAGCATAGTTGCTTGATTTAGAGTATCAAAGGCAAAAATGCAGAAATAAAATAAATTGAATGAATATCACTATATCAAACCAGAGAGGCGGCAATATAGACTAGTATTAACATTTAACAAGACTTTCCTTTTCTACCTGTGCTAATTTATTATTATTTATTCTTTATATACATATACATATATATATATATATGTATGTATGTGTGTGTGTGTGTGTGTATATATATATATATATATATGTATGTATATTGTAAATGAGGATAATACTTAACGTTGGTTGTTTGTTTGTTGGCTGAAAAGTAGTAGGAGAAGTTGGGAAGGAAGAGAAGGGCAGTCAAAAGTTGACCATTTTTCTGGGTTGGAAGTTGGAACATGGAAATGCTATCCAGAGCTGGTCGTACTTTGTTTATGTTTTGTTGAATATTATTTCTGGGTCAAACTTTGTTTATGTTTTTGTGTTTCTGTAAAGACTGCCCGGAGTAGTGAAATACTCTCATCCCCAAGATACTTTGTTCTGCTCACAATTCACAAGCCTGTAAATCTTTCCCTTAATACGTGTTCAGCTCACAAATCACAATACACAAGGGTGGATCCTATCTTTTTTTTCCTTACCTATTTTTACAAGGTTGATGGTAAATCTTCCCCTGTTTATCTAAGATTGCGTCACGTTTAACTTATTTTTTTCTCCTTATTATATACTTTTGTTAGAATAGGATCAGATTAGATCCAATCAATTCAGAAAAAATTCAATTATATTAGATCAATTGTGTAAAATATTGAAAATAATGTTAATATTTTGTCTATGATTAAAGAATAATTATTTTGTAGAATAAATTTTCTAAATAGTCCTTTATATATGATTTTTTTTCATATCTAGTCCATATTTATCAAATATGATGTTGATGGTTCTTATTACGGAGTAATTGAGTACCATTTCATGTTTGGTCTTTCGTTTATTTTTTCGTCTCCATGTCATTAAATAAGGACTAAGGTCCCGTTCCGTTCAACTTATTTTTTCTTATTTTTTCTTATTCTTATTAAAATCATATCAGATCAGACCAGATCAGATCGAATCAGATCAGATCCAATCAGATCAGATTAGATCAGATCCAATCAGATCAGATCAAATCAGGACTTATAAAAATTAGATCCCATCAAGAATTATTATTATTATTATTATTATTATTATTATTATTATTATTATTATTATTATTATTATTATTATTATTATTATTATTATTATTATTATTATTATTCTTAAAAATGAAAAAGATTAAACTTTAGAAATAGGTTAAATAGAAAACTGAGAAAGTAATCCTTAATTATTAGACGTCGGAAAAATTAGTTTTAAAATACATTGACAATGTCAATCTAATTCTACTTTTAAAATATATTTTTATTGCTACTTGTAATTTGAGTTTCTAAAGTTTGATCTTTTATAAGGATGAGATATTTTAATAAAAATACTATCTCTTCTATATGTTGATTATCTAAATTTAATTACTTTTTAATGTATATCTAAATTAAATATTTATTCTAATGTATATATGAAGTAATTATTAAAATATGAAATTAATATTCTAATTTCACAAAAATAATCATAAAATAAAATATATTATTATATATAATATGAATGATTATTCTAATATATGAATTAACTATTTTTATTTTATTAAAAAATAATCATTAAATAAAAAATATTGATTATATTATAATATGAATTATCATTACAATTTTCAAATGTTATTATAAAGTCAAATCAAATTATATATTTGAAATTTTAAATTAAATCATAATTAATCAGAACAGATCAGATCCAATCAGGTCAGATCAGATCCAATCAGATCAGATCAGATCCAATCAGAAAAAATAAAGTGAACGGAACGAAGCCTAAACATGGAATAATATCCAATTAATAAGGAACGCAAACATAACATTTGATAAATATGGAAAACCCTTAGTTATAAATGACTATTTAGAGAATTTATTTTTTTTAAACCACTTTAATATAGAAATTAATAAAATATGAAAAGTGTATGAGGACTTTATTTTGAAGAAAAAAACATGGGGTTTATTTCGAGGATAAATGGTATTTGTTATTACTACTACTAACCCGAGTTACCTCTTTTCAATTCAATTATTAACACAAACAAATCTTAAAAACAAAATGAGAGAGTATTGTAATTATTTTTTTTTTGGATATCTGACTTCTGTGTCCCACCCCACTGTCCTATTGTTAAATCATGCCACACACAATTTGTTTTACGATTACAATGTACTACTACCCTGAGCTGCCCCTTTCGTATTCAATATTGACACAAATAAATTTTAAAACCAAAATTGGAGAGTATTGTAATTATTTTTTTGGATATCGGACTTCTGTGTCCCACCCCATTGTCCTATTGTTAAAATCATGCCACACATGATTTTTTTACGAGTGCAATGTACTACTACCCAGAGCTACCCCTTTTCTAATTCAATTATTGACATTGTTAATAAAATGAAATAGCCTTAAACTAACCATAGCTTAAGAGTCTGGTTAATAAAATATGAATTTCACATTAATATGATTTGGCCTTAGACTATGAATAGTTTAAGAACAGTGTTGATATTATGATATTGAGTTTTTGAATTGAATATTATGTGCATGATATCAAATGGTTTGATTATGAATTAAATTTATTTGGATGTTTAATGCATTAGATATCCTTACGCAAGTTTGCCTCTGAGTGTGTAGTATGTTTTATTTGCTACACGCAGGTAAACAAAAAGAATGATGTGACGTGATCCTGGCGACAGATGAGGATGCTATGTCGTGATCGATTGTGATGATTTTCAAGCTGTTTAATGAATATTTAGAATGAATGAATTACATTTTGTCACTGTGATGTGAAACTGCTTCTTTAAAGCTTCCAAGAAATTACGAGACTCTGTTAGTGTTATGAGTATTTTAAAATGAAATAAAGTTCAAACTGTTTTAAATTTTTTAAATGTTTACGTTACTAAGTTAATACTTTAGTTTGAAAGAGCTTTCAGACCTGCACGGATTAGGGTGCCACAATATTATTCAAAAGTACACTAAATTATTAAATTATCAATGAAAATATACAAAAAAATTATCGAAAGACTGTAATAGTGATATCGACAAACATTGTTGGGTGGAGAGAATGAAGAGAATATTAAGAGTGATGTAAATTATAATTGGGTTAATTTTAAAATGTGGAGTTGTTTGCATTATTAAATTTTTATACTGTAACAATGGTGGATCCAGGGAAAAAATGACCGAAGATACCTTTGATACATAGGAGAATAACAATTGGTAAATACTGCCCCCAATTTTTTTCTAAAGAATTAAATGTAAAATGAAAAAAAAATTCTATACTCGGGATTAATAAATTTAATCTTATACCAACATTCAAATAAATAAGTCCTAAACTGAAGGAAAAAAAATTAGAATACCTGGTGGTGAAAAATATATACAAACACCAAAAGGTCAAGAAGAATAGAAGATCGTGTTCAATTAGACTGGGCCTAAGAGATATTCATATCGAAAATTAGGTGCCGACATAGCATGCATATAAGACTCGGAAGGGATTGAATTGCGATAAAATACAAGGTGAGATTCTCGCAACATCACGCGGCCCAATTTCTGGGTTGTAAGAATGGGCCCTTTTCGCATGCATATGACAGAAACCTCCCTCTTTAATGGGCCACTTGCCTTCTGCTTTACACTTTCGAACTAATATATTGTGAAATTTGCATTAAATAGGACTAAAACATAATGACTTTCTTAATGTAGGACTTGAACTTTTTTATTCCCTAAATAAGACTTAATAATGACCTAGTTGGTGGAATAATGTCCAGTAATATTAGACATTTACTTGAATAATGACTACTTGATAATGACCAAAAGTCCTACATTGAGAAATAAAAACATATGATCCTATATTGAGAAAGTCATTATGTTTTAGTCATATTTAGGTAAATTTCTCTAATATATTTTGGGTGCCTGTAAAATAAATAATTTATACTCTTGATCAAATCATACTCCGGGAGTGAAATTTTTGATATTAAAGCATCCCTGGAAATATAACTTTTGAAAATGATCCTTCCACCAAATTAGAGTTAATATCTCGAGATTTACTAGGGCCAAAAACAAAATAACTTTGGACTTAAATTGTTTAAAAGGACCAGAAATAGAATTTCTAATTTTATAAGGACCAAAATCACATCCAAGACTAACTTTAAATTAAAAAATAGTGGGAGGACCATTTGTATATAAAACTATTTTTTGTACAAATTAATAAAAAATATATTGGAAAAGCTAAAAAACAAATCACTCATTTTACAGGGACTTAAATTACAGGGTCCGTTCGAAGAAATGAAAAAATGAAATTGGCCGAGTACAAAATTCATGTTTAGGGCCCTATTTATTTTTTAGAGTACTTATACTTTAAAATTAATGCTAAATTTGATTTTTAATAATCACTTTTATAATAATTTGAATAAAAAAAATTAATTTGTATGAAAGTTAAACATAACAAATAATTAGAATAATACACATTTAAAAATATGCGTTCCTAAGATTTTGAAGGTCATGTGTTGTTAGCCACTTTATACATCCTCCGGGCCACCCATACTAAAATTTACTCCCTCCGTTTCTTAAACATTTCCTTTTTTATTTTATCCACTTTGGCTAAAACACATCAACTTTCTATTAAAAGTCCATGTTTACCCTACTTTTTTCTTACCCAACCTAGGAGGTTATATTATTCACTAATAATCTATCCATGACACCTTATTTTTACTCATCACATCAAAGGTAAAATTGAAAAGTCAACCATACACATACACTTCTCATTTGGATTATAAGTCAAAATAAGAATGATTTATTGAAACTGAGGCAATTTGTAACTCTTTGTTTTATTATAAGAGTTTTTTAAGCGTACAAAATTCGACGAAGCATGCTACGTGTTTCTAAAACTTTCATGGCTCATGCTATTACAAAATATCGGTACAATACTTTTTTATCGTACTAATATTTTATGTTACTGTAAATTATGAAAATAACAGTATAAAGCTTGGTGATACAAAACGGTATACACCTAGCTTCATTCAAAGAGAAATCACTCTAAATAAGATTAAAACCTAAAAAAAGTACCAAAATAGGAATTCCATGTTTTTATTCCTAAAATAGGAGTTCGAACTGTGGTAATATGGTGATAATGTGACATTGTACATGTGCACATTACTATACCTTTTGGTAATGTATATGACCATGTCTGGTAATGTAAATGCATTTTAACTCATATTTCGAGAATAAAAAGATAAAAGTCTTATTTTGGTATATTTTCAATGTTTTCCTACTAATTTTGTCTTTTTCTCATATTTTATTCATTTTCTATTTGTTTCAAATCATTTTGGAGAAGAAACACAAAAAAATTCTCCAAATACATCTCTAAAGGTCATTTTTTCAGTTTTAATGATTTTATTCGTGGATCTCTTCAGGAAATTTCAATTCTAATTTTTTATGTTTTGGTAACATAATTGGTACCCCTTACGTTCCATTTTATATTGACTGTTGTGTTTTACAATGCTTGATTGCAATTAGTTTCAAATAAATTTATTTAAAAATAGAGATCAAATTTAAAAGCAGAAATTATATCAAAAGAACTATAGAACAAGAGATGACATGATTATATAATTGGGGAAGGTTCAAATGACATTGAACCTTAATGTCATAGGATGACCCGGGGCTGCTCCGGTGCCCCGTTCGTAAAATTGACGGTTCCTACCCCCCGGTAAACCCCCCACCCCCTTCAATTGCACCCCACAAGTTGATTTTGACTTTGGAGTCAAATTTGACTCCAAAGTCAAAATCAACTTGTGGGGTGCACTTGAAGGGGGTGGGGGGCGTGTTCGGGTCGGGGCCGGGGTGGGGGGTTTACCGGGGGGGTAGGAACCGTCAATTTTATGAACGGGGCACCAGACCGGCCCCGGGTCATCCTATGACATTAAGGTTCAATGTCATTCGAACCTAGGTGTATATAATTTTATCATTTGAGTAACAAAAATGATTAAAGAAAAAGTGATTAAAATTCGATCCTATATAAATTGGGACGAAAGGAGCAAGAAATGTTTTTGCGAAAAAGTATTTTCTTCAAAATAAAAAATGATTTTGTTTCAATTTTTTTATTCATTCTCCGCCCGTGTCCTCACTCTGGTCACCCCCATGCCCCACCCCGCACTTCTCGTCAACCCTCACTCGGCTCTATTTGCCCGCAGATTGTCCAACTCAATGCACCCCCAAACTACGACACCATCCACCCTAGGTCCTAAGCTAGTGTACTTTGAAACCCTTATCCCCGTCCACAATCCACCTCAGTCATCCTCGTCAACCCGTCACATGCGACTCCTAAAGCGCTCCCCGTGCCCCCCACGCCTCGTCAACATTCACCCCACCATTCACCCTTGGTTTGTGCACCCCTGGGCATCGCTAACCCCATGTTCCCATTGAAAAAACAAAATTCCAAAAATTAATGCTACAATTAAGTATTGTTGCACTTCCAAATTTCTTCAATCAAATCCTCTTGGAGGGTAGTATGACTTTATTCATCTCGCATAGTTATACGCCAATTTTTGTTAACGTACTAATATTTTGTGTCAATTTTAACCATTAAAATATTAATGAATATCTTTGGTATAACTTTGTGATACATTTTTATGTGTAAGTGTAACATGATTTTATTCAATTTTATCAAAAGAGGTTGCATAAAAGATGGAGAAGATATGCGAAATGAGTCAATATTCAAGCACTAAACCCCCTAAACTTTAAACCCTAAACCCTAAACCCTAAACCCTAAATGGAGAAGATATGCGAAATGAGTCAATATTCAAGCCCTGTTGTTCTAAAAGGATGTAAAAAAATCCTAGTTTATCCTAAAAGATATTCTAACAAAATTTTTTATTAGGATAATGCCATTTGTACATCAAGAATTTGTACTCCATTTTATACACTGTATGGATGCACCAACATTTTGTGTCAGTGTAAATTTTTGTTAACGGACCAACACTTTGTATCAGTGTAAATTTTTGTTAACACACCTACGCTTTATGTCAATGTAAACAATCAAAATATTGGTACATATCTTTAGTGCATAAATGGAGTACAAATTTTGGATAGGTATGCTCCTTTTTATGGAAAATGCTTGGTTCACAAACACAATGGTCACAAACTTACTATTTATGAACTTCAATGGAAAACATTAAATGGTCTAAAATGATTTTAAAATAAAATTTTAAACCATAAATAGTAAGTTTGTAAAGTTTGTGAGTATTATATTTATGAACCTAGCATTGCTACTTTTATTACTCCCTCCGTCCTATATCTTTCTTCTCGTTGCGCAAAACGAAGAAAAATCCCAAGTTTTTTCAATCTATTTTATTTAAATATTGGTATAGAAATAAAAAATAAAACATACATATTTTAAAACTACATCAAAAGTTCAATAAAACAAGTGGTGACAAGAATATTTTATTTTATCATATATGCCATGAAAAAACACAAATAAATATAAATTCCTGTGAAGTTGGAATAGTGCTCAGGGAAGAAAATTTTAGGACTGAAGAGGAACATTCTATAGATTTTCGGATAAGGAGTGTAGATATCTTATCTATCTTATCCTATCTTGTAGTACTACGTATGTATCTATAAAGGACTATGCCTCGTTTCTCTCCAGCCTCTATATCCACCATCCATCCTCTTCATCTCTCAAATTTTTAATTTTCTTATCTTCCGTCCCCACTTCCATCCCTCTACTCTCTCAAGTACGGAGTATATACCAACTCACCTCCAACACCATCTGTCCAAAGTGAAACCATCCATCCGTCCCCATTAGCATGGGTGAATCTCGAATCTTTCTTTCTCCGCTCTTCTTTTCATCTCAGCTATTGATTTGATTCTTCCTTCCCATTGTAGTTGCAAGGAACACTGGATGCTGTCCCAGCGAGACTTCTTCTTCGTCATTATCACGGGACGCCATCATTGTGGCTGATTTTCTAGCAAAATTCTACCTGTTTTCCGACATCTTGGCTTGAAGTGGGTTGGGGGGATCCACTGAAGGGTTGGCACCGTTCAAGTGGATTTGGCTGCTGATTTTGGGGCTGGTAGTAAGGTATAGGTATTGCCCAGCATGGCAGTGACCAGCGGGCGTGACATAGGTAAGTTTAGGGTTAAATAGGATTAAAACATAATCACTTTCTCAAAATAGGACCATATATATATTTTTTCCAATGTAGGACCATTGATCATTATCTATTAGTGTTATTATTCAACTAAATGTCCAACATCAATTGGACATTATTAAGTCCTATTTAGGAAATAAAAAAATTTAAGTCCTATATTGAGAAATGACTTATGTTTTAGTCCTATTTGGTGGAAATTTCACTAAGGGTATTTAAGTTTACTATTGGGTATACTGAATGTTTGAGCACGGCGGTTTACGGATCGCCGTTGGGTTTAGTTAGGCCGCTATTTATTAGGATGACATATTAGACTGTTATGAACTGATTTAAATACCCCCGTTCCAAATTAAATTGTCCGTCATAGTTTATTTACTTTCTTTCCTTAATTCCCTTAGTCATTTAATAAAATAGCATAATCATGGATCTATTAGTTTCGTAGATCCTTAGATTTAGTTTTTAAATATGTAATATTTATTTTTATTTTACACCAATTTTCATATAAAATAATTTGAAAATAATTTCAGTCAAACATCGTACACCAAAACCAACGAATATGGGAAAGTTAATGCAAGTATTTCTGAGCATCATGGCATCACGTATGTCTTTGACTTACGCTTGTGCATCAAAGAAGCACGTCGGAAAGTTGGGAGCTCGTCGCTCGTACGTCTTTAACTTGCATTCTCATGTGCCGACTAACAGGGATATTCTTGTTGTTATATCTTGTCCGGGTTCTGGTCCTAGTTATGCAGACCAAGTGCTCACTCGGAGGTTTGTACGTTTATTCTTTATTACTTTGCACTCCATAATACTTTTTCGATCAAAGCATAAGATTTAGGCTTTGTTTGGATTATAAACTTACAGTTAGCCATTAGAAAAAGTTGGTAGAAAGTAGAAAGATGCAGAAATTAGGAGTGGAGAAAAACTTGAAGAGTTGGAAAATAATTTGATGGGTGTTGGATCCCATTTGAGGGGGGGCGGTAGGTTCGGCCGGCGTGTGATAGGGGCAAACGGGAAATGGCTCTCGTCAAAAGCTATGTCCCGAGTGTGAAAAAAACGGTGAGAGTCAAGATCATACACACGCCAACCTTTAGTGCCGGAGGGGTACCCAACAAACATGCACTTGGTGCTGCGAGGAGAAAATTTATTAGAGGTTTTTAGATGAACAAAACACAAACACCCAAAAATTTTGAGATGACTAAGATCAGGTGCTTTGTGATTGAGAATCTCAAAAGGAGATTTTCCACCAAGGAGTTTGTTGGGAGTCCGGTTAATGAGATACACAGCTGTACGAACACATTCCCCCCAGAATTCAATAGGTAAATGAGCTTGAAACATGAGTGAGCGGGCAACGTTTAAAATGCGTCTATGCTTACATTTCACCCGACCATTTTATTGGGGAGTACCAACGCAAGATGTTTGAACAAGAACGCCCAAGGATGCATAATATGTGCGAAGCTCCCGATTGACAAATTCAGTTCCATTATCTGAACGTACAATTTTGATGATTTTATGGAATTGAGTCTGAATCATGGCAAAAAAATGTTTCAAGCAACTAGGCACTTCAGATTTATCAATAATTAGATAAGCCCAAACGGCTCGAGAATGATCATCCACAATAGTGAGACAAAAATGAGCACCAATAGCTAAACAAGGGGTGTAGGGTCCCCACAAATCACAGTGAATTAAATCAAAAACACTAGTATCTTTATTTGAACTGATTGGAAAGGAACTACGAACTTGTTTAGACTGAAAACAAATTTCACAAGACTGCAACAGTTTAATTTTATTACTACTAGGAGAAGGAATAAGAGACGACAAAACTTGAGTAGACGGGTGACCCAAGCGTTTGTGAAGAAGAATGGGGTCCACTTGGGTCACAGCCGCGGTAGAAGAAGGACGAAACAGGAAGATTCTGTTGCATGCATCACCCCGTCCAATCTCCATCTTCGTTGCACAATCCTGTATCACACAACAATTGTCGTTAAAAATTACAAAACAGGATGCATCCCGAATAAGACACCCAACAGAAATAAGATTGCACTGTAAATGAGGAACGAGCAAAACGTCCCGAAGAACCACCTCGGCCGAGAGTCGCACGTGGCCACATCGAGTGGCAGTAGTGCGCGTACCATTGGGTAGCATGATGAGCAAGGGCTCATAGAAACCACATTAGACAAATATGAGATATTACCGGTCATGTGATTAGAAGCGCCGCTATCAATATGCCACTCACGAGAAGAAGAATCCCCGCTAGGGCCAGAAACCTTTTCAGATGAAGAAGTATCAAGCATTGAAAGCAGGCGCGTCATTTGATCGGGTGTGAGGCCGAGGGTGTTGGAATTCGTCGCCGAGTGTGCTCCCCCTGTCGCCGTGCCAGACCCACGGCCAGGAGCTCCATTGCCGCCGGTAGTGCCACGGCCGCCACTCCGTCCTCCTCGGCTGGGTGTGCTGCCACGACCCCGGCCCTTCCCCGAGGGTACCCATGTATTTCATAACATCTATCCACCGAATGCCCGTCCTTCCCGCAGTGAGTACACGAATAATGAGGCGGATCACCACGACCCGCGGGAAGTGTGGGGCGCTGCATGGCAAAGGCCACCGCGTCCGTGCGGTCATCCCGACCACGGACGATACTCTTGTGCCGTTCTTCTTGGACAATCAAAGCATACGCCCGGTGTATATCCGGAACAGGTTCGGTAGCTATGATCTGAGAACGGATGTGACCAAACTGTTCATCATCTAGACTAAGTAAAAAATGATGAGTTTTCTCCTGCTCTTCCCGAGCACGGATCAAGGCCGCGGCTTCACAGCGACAACCGCAGGTGGGATCAACAGAACCATATAATTTGTTCCACAAAGTCACAAACTGGTTATAATAACCAACCACAGTTTGACCTTTTTGACGCAGAGATTGGAACTCGGATTTTAATGGATGCACACGAGGACCATTGGATCCCCCATACCGAGTCTTCAAATCCAACCACAATTCATGAGCAACCTTATGAGAAATAATTGACGGTTGAATATGTTCATCAACGCTGTTACATATCCAAGAACAGATGATGGAATTATTGGCTTTCCATGCCGCAAGTTCCTGTTCATCAGTAGGCTTTGGAAACCCGGAAGGAATCAAAAACCCTGTACGACTTCGCCCCTCCAGAGCGTTCACAATAGTTTTCTCCCAAACATCATAATTATCACCCTTAAGGAGATGTTTTGTCAGAGAATTACCCGCGCTTTCCGACGGATGAATGTAATAGGGTGACGTTGGATCGTGGATGAGCCGTACCTTCTTTGGTGTTTCGGCTGCCATGGTGACGTGAGGCACCGGTGATGTGTCCGACGTGAGTCGGTGTCGTGGTGGAGATCGACGTGAGCCGATCAGTGACCGTCGTGAGCTGGTCGAAGCAGTGCCGGCGACGGCACGAAGGAAAAACCGAGCTTAGGGTTTAAACGAATCCAGGAAAATTGGCTCCGATACCATGTAGAAATTCCGGCGGGCCGAGAACAACGGATAGAGTGTCGGGTAAAATTAACCACTTGCATATAAAGTCGGGATCCACAATTCTAACCCAAAAGCTTAAGCTGATAGGTAGGGCTTCATCCTTCAATATATGCAAGTGATACTCATCTTTATTTTCCGATGTGGGAACTCCAACACTCCCCCGCAAGTGGTAACTAGCCTGGCCTAGTTAGCACTTAGACAAACGGGTCTAGCATCTCAATCTCTTATAGCTAGCCCACACAACAGGCAGTGGCATCTCAATCTCTTTTTAGCCAACTCAGCCCAAACCACAGATGGGTAGCTCATTTTTGCTAAACCCACATCCAAACAACCAGGAACAATCGAACCCGGACCGGACCTGCTCCGATACCATGTAGAAATTTGTAAAACGTTGAATGCCCTTTCCATTGAGTATTCACGTCGTATAAATACAAGTAAGTTAACTAGGCTACGTTGGGCCAAGCCCGATTACATTCAAGGAAAGATACATACATGGAAAGAATATACAAAAATGTAAAGTAAAACTATATATGCTAACATTCACATTAAATTTCATATTGTAAATCATTTTATTTACAAATTAGTATATCAATAAGATATAAAAATTACATATTAAAAAACTATGTCAAAAGTTCTACAAAACAAAAGGTGATAATAATATTTTATTTTATCAAAAATACTTAATGAAATTGCGTAAACAAACAAATGTTATCGAGAGGAGAGAGAGGAAAAAATTGTAATCTATTTAGGGACAGAGGGAGTATGAGAAAACTTATTAAATTAATCATCACAGCCTCTTAATTATTAAAATTATCCCAGCTTCATACTAAGGTCTAAGTATGGCATGACTGCAAAAAGAGGATCGGATGAAATCACTTAATTACAAGACTACCATAGAACATGGTCCCTGTAGCACATGACAATTATTCATCACAAGTGAAATAGACCAAAACACAGTTGCTGCCTGGAAACCTTTAAATGTATTACAGGATTGGATTTCAGCTATATATACCCCTCCCCTCTTACACAATACATACCCATATACATTATTTACTTAGCCTAAATTCCTGAAACTTCTCTCTATTCTAGCCCTTTACTTTTCCAAATATGCCAGTCCTTTAGACGAGGTTGATGGAACTAAAACCATTGACATTTCGTGCCAACCTAAAATTAAGATTAATTCGTTCTTACGATCTAATGTCTCACAGGAATGCTGGAGAAGTTTATGCTCGGGAATGTACTTTTAACGATATTGAGGTATTTTTCAAAATAACTTTTTTACTTAACCACTTTTCCAATAAATTATTTTAATTTCAAAAAATTTTCAGGGGAACCGAATCCTTGTAATCTATCAAAAGGAAGAAATACCAGAGTTTGGAGCAACACTAAAAGAAGGAAAGTTATATCGAATAAGTAATCCTGCAGTTCTATCAAATAACAAGCCTCGCATTGTTTCAAATAAATTTAAACTGTCACTTGGAAAAAAGATAACCATTACTGAAATTTTGGATGAGCAATTCCCTAAGCCTTTATCTGGTTTCACGCTATTTGAGGAAATAAATACCCTGGAAAATTTTAAAAATGCTTCAATGTTTTGTAATAAGTTTGCTCATTTTCTCATGGCATTATATTCATCATTTTTGTGTCCATTTCGGTTTCAGTAATAATATATTCTAATTTTACTTTAACAGATGTAATTCGTGCGTTGTATGATAATGACCCAGCAATCACCAAACCAATTAATGGTAGAGAAATTCTCATTATGGACATTAGCTTAGAGTATTTAGAGTAAGTACTCTAGCAAGGTTATTCTCTAAATTACTATGATGTCCTTCGTAATTATTACACTACTCTAATTGTACCTTACTTTAAATATGTTTATAGGGGGACAAGACTTCCATGCACTTTGTGGGGTAAATATGCATCTCACCTTACGTTATTTGTAAAAAAAGGCCAATGCAACTAATGATAGTTATAATTCAATTTTGCAAGCCAGGGAAATATAATAATGCAAGCTTTATTTGAAATGAAAGTTTAATTATAGCAGAATTCAATTGCCTTTTAAAAAGAATTTGAAGTTTTTTTTAATTATATTGAGAAAACTATCCTGTCATTGAGTATAAAATATTAAAAATTTCTAATAAAATACCGTTTTTCAGGATGTATTAAGGCTTCCACCTACTACGATGTTTCTAAGATGATCCTTGATGAAAACATTCCAGATATTGACACATTCGGAGATAAGTATGTTTAAAAATAATATTATGTTTTAGGCTACAAGTCTTTATTAACTTTATACAAACAAACATTTATAAATGTTAGTTTTTATGTGCAAAATAGATATGTTACCACAAGGAGTATTTCAAGTGAGGCTCTATCACTAATTGTCTCTACATGCACTGTTCAAAGTTCTCCAATGACTATCAAGATGAAGACAATAGAAGAAGTAATTGAAAGGAAAGAGGTAAATTAGAGATTTTGAAGTGTTTTACCAGATATTCAAACATTACAGGGTATATATCACTCTTTTCAGCCTGGTCGGGTTTGGATTGCATGCTCTATTGCTTGTGTAGAAAACTCTGGGTCTTGGTTTTACACATCTTGCAAGGGTTGTCCTAGGAAAAAATTGCAGAAGGACAGCTTAAATTGTTGTAGTGTCTGTAAAAGCCAATGGTGTGGTTTTGAGGTATAAATAATACTTCATCAGTAATATTAATTGCTGTATTATGAAGTATATAAATTATTAGAATATATTTGTATTTTTTATCAGGTATTGTTTAAAAGACCATGTTGTGGATGACACTGGGAATCTATTGTTGGTATTATGGGATAAGCATTGCATAAGGATTCTTGGAAAGAACGCAGAAGAGCTTTTTAAAAATTCAGTAAGCTTTTGATTTCATAGTTATAAAAGCTCAGAATTAGGTTGTTTCAAATTCATTCTATTCATGTAGGAAAAAGAAGGGGAGTTGCCATTTGAAATTGAAGAACTTATGGAGAGGAAAATGATGTTTGAAATTGAAGTTTCAAAATTCCATGATTCACTCTATGAAGATAGTTTTAGTGTGTCCCAAGGTTCTACTGACATTGCTTTTATTGATAAGCACTCTAATAACACCCCATCTACTCAAGAGTTAGTATACAAACCAAAAACTAAGAGGGCAGAGATTGAGGTGATAGAGATTGTTGAACATCTACAAGATAAGGTGTAAATAAGTGACCTTTTTGGTGTTATTCTTTTTTTCTATTATCTAGAAATCTTAATATCATAATCTTATTATGCAGGTTGAAACAAGCATGCACAGAGACCTAGTTTTTTGATTTTGATATCCAAGAAGCATTGGGGTGGGATGAAAAAAACAAAGTAAAGGGAGATCTTTTGATTGATTTTGAAACTCAATTTGAAAAGGCTCAACAAAAACAGTCAAAGTTGAAAAGGATTGAAAGCTATCTTTTGGAGATATGTCTGCCCACAATAGTCATCATTTTCCACTTTTAGAGTCTCTGTCTATCATGAGTGTATTAAATAATGACCTAAATAGGACTAAAACATAATGACTTTCTCAATATAGGATCATTTGTATTTATTTCTCAATGTAGGACTATTGGTCATTATTTATTAGTCATTATTCAACTAAATGTCCAGTATCTCTTGAAAATTATTTTTCTCACTAGTCATTATTATGTCATACTCTCTCCGTCCCAGAGTATTTGTCTACTTTCATTTTTACACACCATCCAATGTACTTTTTAATGCATTTTATCTCTTAATTTGTATATTAAAAAATTATAGAAATTATATATTAGTAATCTATATGTTAAGACAAATCAAACAAGATCACACATGACTATATTTAGGCTTACACATTGAGAGAATTTGATGAGTCAAAGTGCTTAGATGAATAGTTTCAAAAGTCAAAAGTGGACAAAAACTGGGGGATAGAGGGAGTATTTAAGAAATAAAAAATTTTAAGTTTTACATTGGAAAATGACTTATGTTTTAGTTCTATTCAGTGCAAATTTTACTTAAGTGCTCATGCGAGTGTGTTTTACAATTCTCCTTTACCCAATGTCATTTGGTTTGTTTTCCAACACCTCTTAAAACATCTATCCAAATCTTACTTGAAACATTAAGCATTGATTAATGTTAAAAGTTCAATTGTGGATGACAATACCAGCAATAAAAATTAATCCATATGAAAATGTACAGACCTGTTGTGCCTACACTTCTCAATGATTGTATATTCGCAGTGTGTACCCAGGCTTAATTCATATGCGGCACCCATCTAATTAATATAGAGGAGCAGGCTGCAGAACCTTAGTGGGGTTTAATTTTGTAGCAATTAGGAGTCCTTGATAAAAAGGACTCCTTCATATCCTGTCTTCTAATCTCCGGGGGGGGGGGGGGNAACATGATGCTACAACTCAATTCTTAACACTGGCTAACTAACTAGACCATGCTACAGAAAATGATTTGTCAAAAAATGATGCCAACACAAGGGTATAATACAGACACTACATATAGGAACTAACACGAACTTGTGCGGTTTTGGATTTGTGGCTAAGCTTGTGTCACATGGATGGTAAACCTTTACTCCACAAAAGCGGTGCATGACCCGATACTTGTGTGGTCTCCTAGCCGTCTTCTTCTCTTTTTCAGTCTCCCTCTTTTTTCTTGTAGTTGCCATGGCTCGGAGGGAGAGAGTGAAAAACAGGGTTTTCAAGTTAAAATGTTTAGTTGTTGATGTATATATCTTAATAATTATTAATCAGCTAAATTTTGTTGTGAAAATAAAAAGTATGAACTCTTGTTTGTGGAAAATGAGATTTTTTTTGCCCTATTTTAATCTAATATATAGAGAATGAATAATTTTTTAATGCCAAAGTGTATCAATATATAATTCTACTTCCATCCCAGAGTATTTGTTCACTTTCATTTTTACACACCATCCAATACACTTCTTTAATCCATTTTATCTTGTAATTTCTATATTAAAAAATTATAAAAAATATTAATAATCTATACGTTAAGACATATCAAACAAGATCACACATGACTATATTCAGGCTTACACATTGAGAAAATTTGATAAATCAAAGTGCTTAGATGAACAGTTCCAAATACAGCCAATTGTGGCCCGGACGAGAGATAGATTATACGTAGTACTCCCTCCGTCCTATATCTTTCTTCCCAGAGCACTATTCCAACTTCACGGGAATTTATATTTATTTGTGTTTTTTCATGGCCTATATGATAAAATAAAATATTCTTGTCACAACTTGTTTTGTTCAACTTTTGATGTAGTTTTTAAATATGTATGTTTTATTTTTTATTTCTATACCAATATTTAAATAAAATAGATTGAAAAAAGTTGGGATTTTTCTTCGTTTTGCGTAACGGGAAGAAAGATATAGGACGCATGGAGTATTTGATTGGAAAAATTACCCAAAATAATCCCAACTTTACCTGGTCTTTCAAAAATAATCTCACCTTTCACTGTGATGCATAATAATCTCGACTTTATTGAAATTTGCTAGTTTTGGGTCGCCCTTAAGTTTCTAACGGAGGGTTAACGGAAATGCCCGTTTTAGGCAACAAAATGAAAGTTGGGATTATTTTTGATGAATTTTTATTTTTTAATTTTTTTTGACATTTTTATTTAAATTTTTTGAATTACTTTCAACCTCCATTTCTTTTTCTTTTTTAAATATTATTCTTACCTTAGAAAAAAAATAGATATAAAAAATAATGAGAATGAGAAAAATAACTAAAACCATACAAAACTAATCAAATAAATAATGTAATCAATAGAAATTAAACAGAAACTGGTAAAAAATAAAATAAATATATACGGAGTGGTGGGTTTTAATATTTTACACACTATACGAAGTCTTAATGTACTACTTATTTTTTAAAAGAACAAGTCATCTGGTAAAGTTGGAATTATTGTGGATAATAGTTTCTAAAAAATAAGAAGTGATATGTTTATACTTTGTATAGTGCGTAAAATATTAAAACCCACCCGTATATTTTTATTTTACTTTTACCAATTTTAAGTTAATTTCCATTGATTACCTTATTGATTTTATTATTTTTGTATCATTTTAGTTACATTTCTCATTTTTTTCATTTTTTATATCTATTTTTTTTGAACTAAGCCTAATCTTTAAAAAAGGAAAAATAAATGATGATGGAGGTAGAAATTAATTTTAAAAATTTAAATGAAAAATTTAAAAAAAATAAAAAAATTGAAAATTCATAAAAAATAATCACAACTTTCATTTTGTTGCCCAAAACAGGCATTTCCGTTAACCCTCCGTTAGAAACTTAATGTCAACCCAAAACTCACAAATTTCAGTAAAGTTGAGATTATTATGCATCACAGTGAAAGGTGGGATTATTTTTGAAAGACCGGGTAAAGTTGGGATTATTTTGGGTAATTTTTCCTATTTGATTTTGCTGTGAAAAACTAATGTGAATAAGGCAGTTGAATTTTGTGCACTACCTTTTGGATCGTTTGTTATAGAAAAACCGATGCAAATAATCATTGTATCGGTTACTAGTAATATAGGCCTTGTTTGGAAAACAGCTTTTCAGATAGCTTTTGGCATGTTTGACTGATTTTGGCTTTTTTGACTGAGCGAACCGCCTAAATCGTTGTTTGGCTAATGGGTTTTTCACTTGGCATTTTGATCCGAAAAGCCAAAATCCGAAATGCCAAAGGAGTAGCATTTGGACTTGGCTGTTAGAAAAATTAATTTTTTTAAAGACATTTTTCTTGAAAGATATTTTATAATATATGTAAAAACTAAAAATAAAAATAAAATTTAAAAAAATTAATTAATTAAAAAAATAAAATTTAAAAATTAATAATTTCAAAAAAATGAAATGAGAAAATGAAAAGTAAAAATCATTAAAAAGTTGTATATTAATAATTTCTTATAAATTAAATGAAAGTGAAATTTAATACTCCATATAGTAAAGATTTAATTTTTACATGTAAAAAAATGAAAAATAAATATCGTGTGTGTGTCGATATATATGTATTATGTATGTATGTATGTATGTATGTATGTATGTGTGTGTGTGTGTCTATATATATATATATATATATATATATATATATATATATATATATATATATATATGAAAAAAACTATTTTCAAATAGCTAATTTTACCAAACATTTTTAACAATCAGCCAATTCGTCTTGCCGGTCAAACCAGCTGAACTAAACAACCATTCACAACAACTGGCACGAATTGCCAACAGCCAACAGCTGACAGCCAACATTCAAACAAGGCCATACTATGCAAAAAGCTAAAAGTTACTGCATCAGTTTTTTAACAATTGATACAAAATGTTAAAATTACTAATTGCATCTTATTTTGGAAAATCAATTTAAATCTGAAAGTTGATTTGTTCTTTATTGTAGTAGTGAAAATTCATTTGTAGTTAGTAGACATCTAATAAAAAAATTAAAGTTATTTCAAATAGAGAGATTAAGATAGATGATAATTTAAATTATATTCCCTTTGTCGTAAAATATGTTTCCCAGTTACTTTTCACACGGTTAAACTTTAATCACTTATTTTACCTATTATAATTAGATATTTGATAAAATAATAATTTTGTCACCACTTGTTTTGTAAATTTTTTTATGTAATTTTTAAATATATAAATTTTATTTTTTAATTCTACACCTACAATCAAATAAATTGAATTGAAAATAACGACGATCAAATCTCGTAAACAGAAACAACGACGATCAATAATATTTTTCAATCCACATAGGGGCTATGGGAGTCGAACCCAAATTCTTCCACAACCCCCTTTCCATCTTCCTAGCAACATTGGTCTTTCGTTCTTTCTCTTTGGCCAATGCTAAAGAGAAAGTTCAATTTCTTCTCTTATGAGATTTCTAATATAGAATACTATAGAAAAAATTGAATGATTGATATCAAAGAGAGTCTTCACTCAACTAATCTACTCGTAAAGTGCTAGTAGTAGCATGTGTGGTAGTTAAGACTTCGCTCCCCTTAAAGCTATGGAATCCGGCCCACTTGAAATGCACAACATTATTTTCTGCTTAAAGAAGCAAGGGACCCTCCTTTCATTCGACTAACTTCTATTCTTATGCCCTTCCATATACGGAGTAGCAAAGTAATATTCGTCTAATAGTTAATTATATATTCATAACATTTCTCTTGGACCGATCCCAACCAATATTTTTCATGACTTAAGTTTTCCTTTTTATATAAAAGTATTTTTTCATATAATTTTATTTTTCTTTATTTTCTTTTCTATTTTTTCTTTGATTTCAATTTTAGTTAACATTAACTAAAATCAAAATTTAATAAAGAAAAAAGAGAGGAGACAATAATGCTCATTTCCAAAACCACACATGGTACATCGGAACTATTCACCTAATATTAAAATAATATTTTAATCTAGAAGGACATTAACATCAAAAATATCACAACAACGAAGAACAACGATGTATGTTTTGAAACAATGAGAGACAAGAATACACACTTCTTAAGGTCTCGTTTGGCATCATTGTTAAAGATCAACGTTTTGAAAAAGTTATCTAATGATAACTTTTAACATTAGTATTTTAATGATTAATCTACACCATTAAAATTTTATCTTAAACATTAATGCTAATCCAAAGCGTTGTTTCCAAACAATGCTTAAATCACATTGGTATTAGAAGTATATTGCACCAACGCCCCCTATAGTTTGGCATATGTGCACCGTTATTCCCCATAGTTCAAAAACTTGCGCCGTTGTCCTTCTGGACAAAAATTTCATTAAAATATTAGGTAAATAATTCCGCTACCCCCTATAATTTTGGTATTAGTGTTATAAACTCTACTCCGTCCATCCAAGAATAAACTTTCTACTCTACCTTTTTTTCGTCTGAAAAAAATCTTCCTACACTACGTTTTTATACGTACGCTTCCAAAATTACCCTTCTTCTCCTTCAACATTTCTCCTCCCCTTTTCTCCTTCCCCATGGCAAATCTAGCCTCATCTTCATCACTCTCACTCTCTCCCCCCTCTCTCTCCTACCTTCTTTTTCTTGTTTCTTCGCTTTCCTTTCTCGGCTGGATCTGGCCATCTTCTTTCTCTTCCCGCTCCCCCTTCTTCTTCTCTTTCTCCTTCTCCTCCTTCTTCTTCTAGATCTGTGTTAAATCTAGATCTGTAGACGTTGGGGGCAGGACAGCGATGGGCGGTGGGATAGTATTGAGGCTGAGGCAGCGATTGGGCGGCGATGACGCTGGTGCAGCAGTGGGGCGGAAGTGGGTCAGGGATAGCGGTGGGGTGGTGGGCCGATGGGGCTGGGGCCGCAGAGTGGGGCTGTGCAAAGGAAAGATAGTGGGGGCAAAAGATAGGAGGGTAATTTGGACATTTTAATGATGTAGTCAACCTTCACTAAAAATGAGGAAATGTCAAACTAGAAAGATTTTTCCCGGACGGAGGGAGTATTTTTGTTGGAAATCACCCTAAATAGAACTAAAACATAGAAAGAAGTACCAAAATAGGAGTTCTGTGTTTTTATTCCAGAAATAGGAATTCGCAATGTGGTAATGTGGTTATTATGTGTTAGTGTAAATGTGCACATTACTATCTTTTTTAGTAATGTACATGACCATGTATGATTATGTAGATGAATTTTAATTCTTATTTTATGAATAAAAATACTCCCTCCGTCCTAAAACTAATTTCTCATTTTGACTTTTGCAGTCAAAGTTCTTAAACTTTGGCGGCATATTACGGAAAAAATATATTGAATTTTCATATAAATTTAGTATCATTAGATTCATTTTGAAACATAGTTTTGAAATATATTATTTTGATAATATATATTCATATAAAAATGGAGATATTAATGGTCAAAGTGCCGCATTGGAGACCGTGAAAAGTCAAATGAGAAATTAATTTTAGTACGGAGGGAGTATAAAAATTCTATTTTAATATACTTTTAAATGTTCTACTCATACTTTAGTCTTTTTCTATTTTTTTTTTTTTGTAAAAAAGATGAGCATTAGCCCTTTTGACTCTCTCGTTAGAATGTTTCTAGACTTCTTGTGACTTGAGCTCCATCTCCCCGGTCTCAGATGGGGGCTTCCTGCGTGAGAACAATGTGTTTGACTTTTGAATTTTCTCTCCTCTCTCTTCTCCCATATACCTGTAATACAAGAAGTTATGTAATCCCATTCTTCTTCAAAACCCGAAGCAGCCCAGACGAAAATATTGCACCATCTCTCTCAAAAATTTCGCTTATATTGAAACCAAGTCTTGACACTACAGTTACTGATACTACTTGCTATATATTATCTGCTTTGTATTGTATAGTTTCTGCGTATGTTGCGCATACGTTCATTCTGCTATTGCTGAGTTTGAAGTAGTGCACAGAGAACATTGTCGGGCTTGAATACAATTTCTGTTGTTTGTGTGTATTAGTGTTTTTGTACATGTTGGCTGAGGCTAGATTCTGGGTTTTCTTCTGCCTTTATATTATCTTGAGCTCTGCTGTGGTTGGGTGTTGGGCAGTCCCAAATCATACTAAATTTGGTTGTTCCTGATTGGGTAAGTTCTTTGGGGTTGGGTGGGGATATCTGTCTTGTTGAGTCTCTATTTTCTGATACAGTTTGATTCTGATCTGTTGAAAGGATCTACGATCTTCGGGTCATGGCCTGGCAACAGCGTCCACTTTTGATTCCTTCTCCAAGAAGTCCAGGAGTTGCAGAGCTTCCTTACACACCTGTTTTTATTGACCAATTGAAAGAAACAAAGTCTGTATCACATATCACCGTATCACCTTTTGCTATGGATTCAAACACCCGTGCTGAGACTTCCACATTCCCCGATTCCTTCCGCAGCTTGTCTAGAAGAACTATGTCTTGGAATAGGTCTAGGGGCTCTAGGGCAAGTTCTATTAGGGAAGATAATTCCGGAGGGTTAGGATTAAGGGGCGCGAGACATGGATCACATGGTGCTGGTTCAGAGGGGTTTAGCTCATCTCTGAAGGATATTAGTGATGCGGACGCCAGATTGGTATATATAAATGATCCTGCCAAGACTAATGAAAATTTCAAATTCGCTAGTAATTCAATTAAGACAGGAAAATATTCCATCATTACCTTCATACCTCGAAACCTCTTTGAACAATTCCGTAGAGTTGCATATATTTATTTTCTTGTGATTGCTATCCTTAATCAATTGCCCCAGCTGGCAGTTTTTGGTCGGGAAGCTTCTATTATTCCACTAGCTTTTGTATTATTAGTCACAGCAGTTAAAGATGCCTATGAAGACTATAGGAGACATAGGTCTGATAAGGTTGAGAACCATCGATTGGCTTCGGCTTTGATTAATGGTCAATATGAACAAAAAAAATGGAAAGATGTAAGGGTAGGAGAAATCATCAAAATCTCTTCAAACGAACCTATCCCGTGTGACATGGTGCTGCTCTCTACTAGTGATACTACTGGAGTTGCATATATTGAGACAATTAATTTGGATGGAGAATCAAATTTGAAGACACGGTATGCTAAACAGGAGACCCAAATGAGAAATCCAGAAAAGGAGAATGTATGTGGATTGATCAAGTGTGAGAAACCCAATAGAAACATTTATGGATTTCATGCAAACATGGAGATAGAGGGAAAACTTGTTCCACTTGGACCTTCCAATATTATTCTACGTGGTTGTGAACTCAAGAATACTGCTTGGGCAATTGGGGTTGCAGTATATGCTGGAAGTGAGACAAAGGCTATGCTGAATAACTCTGGAGCTCCATCAAAGAGGAGCCGTCTTGAGACTCGTATGAACTGTGAGATAATTTTCCTCTCATTTTTCCTTGTTGCTTTGTGTACAGTAGTCACTATTTGTGCTGGTGTTTGGCTGAGGCATCACAAGGATGATCTAGACATGATCCCATTCTTTCGGGAAAAAAACTATTCAAAGCGCGAAGTTAAGAACTACAATTATTATGGTTGGGGAGCAGAAATAGTATTCACGTTTCTCAAGTGTGTTATTGTCTACCAAGTCATGATCCCTATATCATTATACATATCCATGGAGCTTGTTCGTATTGGTCAGGCTTATTTTATGATTCAAGATTCCCAGATGCTTGATGAAGCCTCAAACTCAAGATTCCAATGTAGGGCGCTTAATATAAATGAAGATTTGGGACAAGTGAAATACGTTTTCTCTGATAAAACTGGTACATTAACTGAGAACAAGATGGAATTTCAATGTGCAAGCATTTGGGGAGTAGATTATGGTAGCACTGGCAGCAGAATGTCCAGTCTTGTAGATGATCAAGAAGCATACAACATTCAAGGTGCCAATGCTTTGCTTATTCCTTCCCCCCAATCTCCAACCCTACGCATCCATATCACTCACTGAACATACAATTTTTTTTAATATTATTTTGTACCAGAGGATGGGCATGTTTTAAGGCCCAAGATGAACGTAAAGGTGGACGAAGAGCTTATTAGATTATTGAAAGTTGGAAAACATACGGATGAAGAAAACCATGTTCATGATTTCTTCCTAGCATTGGCTGCTTGCAACACTATTGTTCCTCTTACTACGGATTCACCCAATCCTGCAGTAAAATGGATTGAATATCAAGGAGAGTCTCCGGATGAGCAGGCATTGGTGTATGCAGCAGCAGCGTATGGTTTCATGCTTATTGAACGAACATCTGGCCATATTGTTATTGATATCCAAGGAGAAAAACAAAGGTAAGTGTAACTTCATTTTATATCTTTTTCTTTCTCAAAATTTCCTTTTTAGTTTTTCCTAAAATGAAATGATATCCAATAACATTATCCCAGTGCCTCAAAGGCCCCTGTACGGAGTCTGACTCCTATGTTCGAAAATAGATCCAGTCAAGCAATATACAAACAACATTACCCCAGTGCCTCAACGGCTCCTGCCCATTGCGGGGTAAGGGGGATCGGATGTACACAGTCTGACTCCTATGTTTAAAACACAGAGCAGCTGTATGTTATATTACAATATAAATTTTGCAATGGGACATGATTATAGCTAAATCATTGCATGCGAAAACAACTTCAGATGAAGACGGGTTTTAAATTTTATTCATTCCTTAGAAGGCTGCAGCAAGGCATTCTCTCTCTCTTTTTTTTTGCATGGATTTGCTAGAGTAACTAAGTTTGGACAGTCAATTAATTCTAAAGATTTAATTTCACCGACCCATCATAGATTCATAGTACTAAAGTACGGATTAAGGTGATGATGATTTGTTAATTTACCTGCTTCCCCCTTATAAAATTCCGGATTGGACTTTGCATGATTTTAATGAAGTTGAAACTTGAAAGAGTGGTTTATATTTGTTTCGAAGAGATAAATTTCAACCACAGATTCCCTTCCTAAAAAAGAAAGAGAAGATAATTTTGTGACATAGGTAAAAAGGAAGGAATGAGGATAAAAACGGGACAGAGTATATATAAATTTCTGAGTTCTATTCATGTAATGCAGATTCGATGTTTTGGGTTTGCATGAGTTTGACAGTGATAGGAAGAGGATGTCAGTAATGTTAGGTTGCCCTGATAAAACAATAAAGCTCTTTGTTAAAGGTGCTGATACAACCATGTTTAGTGTAATCAATGCCTCGTTGAACTTGGACATAGTTCGTGCAACTGAATCACATCTCCATTCTTATTCGTCAATGGGTTTAAGAACTCTTGTGGTGGGAATGAGAGAATTGAGTATTTCTGAATTTCAACGATGGCAGACTTCTTATGAGGCCGCAAGTACTGCTGTAATTGGGAGGGCTGCTTTACTTTGTAAAGTTGCTACTGATATTGAAAGCAATCTTGGCATACTAGGAGCTTCAGGAATAGAAGATAAACTGCAACAAGGTGTCCCAGAAGCGATCGAGTCTTTGAGATTAGCTGGCATTAAAGTTTGGGTTTTGACGGGGGACAAGCAAGAAACAGCAATTTCAATTGGCTACTCGTCTAGGCTTATAACGAGTACAATGACACATATTACGGTTCAATGCAACTCTAAGGATTCATGCAAGAGGACTTTGGATGATGCAATGAGTTTAACTAAGAAGATTATGGCACATACTTCTGAAACAAAATTTGTAGCTAATGCCAATTCAGTTGCATTGATCATTGACGGAACGAGCCTTGTGTATATCCTTGACAGTGATCTTGAAGAGCAGGTATGCTCATATAGTCATATGCTCTCTCTGTCTAACTTATATGTTTAATATGTATTGCTTACCTCTCTTGCTTATTTGCAGTTGTTCCAACTAGCTAGCAACTGTACTGTGGTACTGTGCTGTCGAGTAGCTCCTCTGCAAAAAGCTGGCATTGTTGCTCTCATTAAAAACCGAACAGATGAGATGACCCTTGCAATCGGAGATGGTGAGTATCAAATGTATCATCTCATTATGATTTATGACCAAAGAACATGCTGCCAAAAGACACTCGGTTTTTCCAAGGAACCACCATTGCTTTATAAAAATAGAATACCACACAAGATTAAAGTTTAAATCTTCCTGGTGTTACTCCACGCCACAGGGAAAGAAGATAGGCAAGGAAAGAAGATAAAGTTTGACATGTGAATAGTAATGTTATGTGAAGTTAATATGGACAGAAAATAATAATAGCTAATAATAATATTATTAATGTCCATCAAAAATATTTTCTGTCATATATATATATTGATGCATGCATACTCTAACATATGCTTTTCAGGTGCAAATGATGTTTCAATGATCCAAACTGCTGATGTGGGGATAGGTATCAATGGCCAAGAAGGTCGTCAAGCTGTCATGGCTTCAGATTTTGTGATGGGCCAGTTCAGATTTTTGGTTCCGCTTTTATTGGTTCATGGACATTGGAACTACCAGCGATTGGGCTACATGATATTATACAACTTTTACAGGAATGCTCTGTTGGTTTTTGTCCTGTTCTGGTAAGTTCATGACTTCTGGCAATTTTAGAAGAGCTCAAGAAGCAATCATACATCCTTCTTTGGTTGATGGTTTTCCCTTCTTGTTCTTTTTACATTGTGGCGGGTTGGGGTGTGACTTGGAAGCTACTTATTTTAAATAAAGAATTCCATATAAGAAGTGATGTATTTTTTTCTTTTGAAATCATCACCTCTCAAATGAAGCATTCTAGCAATTCTTCAATATTAGCTGATATTACACTTAATTGTTCTGATTAGGTATGCACTCTTTACGGCTTTCACTTTGACTACTGCCATCACTGACTGGAGTAGTGTTCTGTACTCAATAATCTACACCTCTCTCCCTACAGTTGTTGTTGGAATTCTTGAAAAGGATTTAGGCAGAATGACTCTTATGAAGTGCCCTCAACTTTATGGAGCTGGACAGAGAGAAGAAGGCTACAACCGGAAATTGTTTTGGCTGACAATGACGGACACTATATGGCAAAGTGCAGTTTCATTTTTTGTGCCTCTTCTTGCATACAGGAAAAATGATATTGATATGTCAAGCATTGGCGATCTTTGGACACTTGCAGTGGTTATTTTGGTCAACCTACATTTAGCCATGGATGTAATTCATTGGAATTGGATTACCCATGTTGCCATTTGGGGATCTATTATAGCAACTGTTATCTGTGTCATTATCATTGATGCATTGCCTTTTCTTCCTGGTTATTGGTAAGACCTCTATTACCATCCTGCAATGTTACCTTTCTATATTTTCATCATGAGGCATTTGGAAAACATACGATATTCACATATTTTAAAAATCATTCCTTGTATGTTTATAATTTTTTACATTATCATATCTTCTCTTGTAAAAGTTTGACAAATTAATGTAGGGTTCACACGTTTTCTAGAAAATACGTAGTATAATGTTCGGATGCAATTACAGCAACCTAGTTGGATCCCACGAAAGTATGGTATGGGGAGAGTGTGTGTACGCAGATCGTGCCCCTAGTCGAAAGTAGAGAGGCTGTTTCCAAGAGACCCCCCCGACCATGGAAACGACAATCATGTATTCAGTATTGGTCCTACACAATCCGAGTCCTTTGGATTCCATGGAAAGGCTCCAAAGTTTCAACTTATTGTTTATTCCCTCGCAGGTTTCATCAATAAACTCAGGCATGAACCACAGGACCTCACCTTGAACTCCCCGCACTAGGACGTTCATCACTAGGGCATACAAGAAAGGGCTATGGGCAGACCCCTGGTGCAACCTCACCTCTACGAAGAAAGGCTTAGAGTAACTCCCGATGGACTTTACCCTTGTCGTTGCGTTGCTGTACATATCCCTGACCACGCGGATGTATGTGATTGGGACTCCTCTTAACTCAAGACACCTCCACAAAACCTCTCTTGGCACCTTATTGTATGCCTTCTCAGGGAATAAAAATATCATATGGAGATCCTTCTTCTTGGCCCTATACTCTTCTATCAATCTCCGGAAGAGGTGAATGGCCTGGTCTCTGTGGTCGATGTGCCATGCATGAAACCAAACTGGTTCTGGTAAATGCACACTCCCTTTCGCACCATGTTTTGTTTGTGCCTCTGTAATTCTTGCAACTCTGAGTGTCACTCTTGCCTTTATATAGAGGGACCAACCCACTCTTCATCCACTCCTCGGCCATCTTAGTCATCTTGAAAATAACATTGAAGAGTTTGGTTATCCTAACCAGCCCACCACGACCCACCTGCTTCTAAAACTCCACCAGAATTTCATTCGGACTCAATGCTCTCCCACTACTCATTCCTCAGATGACCTGACTGCCCCAAAGTCTCAAAGTGCATCACACTCCCCCCAGCTCACCTTGTTCTAGCCTCGGGTCTCCTCCCACATTTAAGAGGCCACGAAAGCGCTCCCCCATCGGTTTGCTATCTTTGCTGTCTCAAACAACACTACCATTGTTGTCCTTCACGCATATCAAATGGGCTATATCCTTAGGCCTTCCTCTAACGTGCCTTAGCTAGCCAGAGAAGTTGCTTATTACCGCCCTGCACGTCTATGTCCTTATAAAGGCATTCAAAAGCTACGTTCTTCGCCCTTGTAACCTTTAGCTTTGTTTCCTTACAAGCCGTCTTATACTCCGCTTGCAACGCCGCTCTATCCCCTTCATCCCTACAGTCGACGCACCTCAAATACCCCACCATCTTTGCTTCCACCTTTGGATCATATCACTTCACCACTAGTCACCTTTATGCCTACTCCCCGAACCACAGCTCACACCCAACACTTCTCTGGCGGCTTCCATGATGTTGTTGGCAGTCTGTGCCCACATGAAAGTGGCCTCCTTGCAGGACTCCCACGCGCCTTTCTCTTGCACACGCGCGATCAACTCAATAGTTTCCTCCCCGCCCTAGCTCCTCCACGGAATAGGTGCTGGGCCACCTGTAGTTGGCCTTTGCCACACCCACCAGATCAATACATCCATAAGAATTTAACATTCTTAGAGAGCACCTGATCAAGAAACAAGAGGAGGTAGTCGATCTCTGGCCTCTTCACTCTGCTAAAAAGGTAGCAAGTGATCAACCCATTTGGAGAAACAAGAGTTTCCGACCACCATTTCACTCGCTCTGGCAAACTCCAACAATGAAACACCCGCCGAGTTTCTATCGCCAAAGCCAAACCCACCGTTCATCTCTTCGAAAGGTCTCGACTGAGTCTCCAATATGGCCATTGAAGTTGCCTCCAATGATGACTTTCTCAGCCTGTGGAAAACCACCTACCACCCCATCCAGCGATTCCATGATTTCCCTCTTAACTTCATCCTCCAAACCAACATGAGGCATAGGCACTAACGACATTGATCACACATCCACCCAAGACTAGTTTGATGGTTATCAACTGATCACTAATCCTCTTCACCTCCACAACAGTCTCTTGCAGCTCCGGAGCCACCAAAATACCAACTCCGTTCCTTTTCCTAGCAAAGCATGAATACCACAAATTGAAACCGTCAACTTCTAGCGCCTTCGTGCCCACCCATCTACCCCTCCGCACGGTGACCTACATCGCTAACCAAAGCCACTATATCCACACAACAACACCAACAAGAAGCAAAGCAGGCAAATAAGCTAATCAACACAATAAAAGTAGATTATGGTAGCACACCAAATAATCTCTCATAAAAATAATATGAATAAAAACACACAAGAATAGCTAAAAAGAGTAAAACAACAAACAACAACAAAGCCTTATCCCACTAGATGGGGTCGGCTACATTGATCAAACAACGTCATTGCGTCCTATTGTGTATCATATCTGTTGTGAGATCATTCACGCAAAGGTCTCCCTTGATCACTGCTTGCCAAGTTCTCTTTGGTCTACCTCTTCCTCTAGCCACATGCCTATTCACCATTTGATCAACCCTTCTCACAGGATGCTCGATTGGTCTTCTCTCCACATGTCCAAACCACCTAAGATGTGTTCTCACCACCTTTTCTATAATAGGTGCGACTCCAAGCTAAAAAGAGTAAGAGTAAAAGGAACTGATAAAAAGGGCTAGGGTGTCGGCAGGGGATATGGGCTAGAAAGGTTGGGGGGCTGGAGAGGTTGGGGTTGACGGCTGCGTGTGGGTTGCTGAAAGCGTCACCTAGGGTTGGCGACGACGGAGGGTGGCTGGCGATTTGTGGTGGTGTATCGCCTAGGTCCGACGGAGACGGAGGGGGGTGTGGGCCCAAGATCGATGGTAGAGCTAGGGGAAATTGGCGACAGGGGGAGGTTGGGGGAGATGTCAGCAACGGGGAGAGCCAGTGACTAGGGTGGTCGGCCCAAGGGACAGAGCAGGTTAGGGTGAAGGGTAGGTTAGGTGTGGGCGGATGATGGGGGTGGGTGAGAACTTTTGTGGGCTCCTAGCTGTTGCCCTAGCTAGAACCGGCAAGGAGGGAGGGACGATGAGCCAGAGATTGGCGGTAGCAATAAGAGAAAGAGAGGTTACTCATTAGCATTGCAGAGGAGAGAGAATAGAGAGAGCACAGTCTCCTGTAAGAGACCTTAGCGTTTGATGCAATTGTATTTCCTTATTGGTCTTGCTATGGAGGCTGCAGATAAAAAACCATAGGAACTGTAGTGGAAATAGGAAAGAAATTAAAGAAATGTTTTGCCTGAAAGGTAATATGGATTAAATTTGTCAATGTGTCCCTGCAATTAAAAATAATTTTCTCATTTAGGTTCTACAAGAAGATTTGCATTCAATATAAATGGACACAGACACCATCTATTAAAAATGCATCCTATATGTATGCATTTTGCATTGAGTTAAACTTGCAGAACAGTTTTATATTGGGAAGTGATTTAAACTTATTTGCATACTATATGTATGCATTTTGCATTGATTTAAACTTATTTGCTGTCCTTGTGACTCTATAAGCAGTAACTGATTGTACACCGAACATAAATTTGCAGGGCCATCTTCCACATTGCAGGAGACGCGCCGTTTTGGTTGTGCTTGGCTAGTATCATTGTAGCCGCTTTAATTCCCCGATTCATGTTAAAAGCATTTGTTCAGTACCTCTTTCCTAGTGACATTCAGATTGCAAGAGAGAAAGAGAAGTTTGGTGACAGGACGCAGTCTCAAGAGGCAGAAATGGAAATGAACACTGTTGTTGATTCTCCTCAGAGATGAGCTTCCCTTCTTTCCCACGTCTTTTAATGTTTGTCAATCTTTATGTTGCCACTACATGCTGCCAGTTTATGTATATGATTTGCATCACATGTATATTGGGCAGTGTGTGATAAAGAATTTAGTGAATTTTTTTTTATTATTTTAATATAGGTACAATTAAAATACAGTTAGTCGATAATGAGTGGTAGAAAATATACAGTATAAAACCTACCATCATGGTCATGAAATTCAAAAATAAAAAGATACAAAAAAATGTCATTTTAACATGAGTAAATTTTACAATTGGTTCTTCAAAACAAGAGAGTTTTCATATTTAGTCTTTTTTACCAAATGTTACATTTGTAGTCATTCGTTTATGTTTATCTTTTTACGGATAGTCTTTTTTTACTTTTCATCATGTTGGTATTGAATTAAGATCCAAAAGTGTAATTTCACATTCATCTTACATCCTCCATGCCATAGTTACCTGGCTATGGTCTTGTTAATGTGCCGGTTGTCTGCTGGAATTGTCGCCCACACAATCATAGTCGATTGTTGTTGTCACCAGTTGGAATCCAAGTTAATAGACATAGTCGTTGTTATGTTGTTTGTCAAGCCGCCGCTAAAGTATATGGCTTGATTTATGGTTGATATTAAATTACATTTTTTGTTCTCAATTTAACACAAATATGGTTGAAGACATGAAGTCTAAAAAAGGTTATCTATAAAAAGATACTCATATATAAAGGACTACGGACGTAATATTTCGTAATAGAAAAGCCAAACTTATGGTCAATGTTAAATTACAATTTTTGTTCTCAATTTTACACGAATATGGCGAAAGTCCAAAAAAGACTATCTGTAAAAAAAATAATCATAGACAAAGGATCACGAATGTAATATTTGGTTATAAAACACTAAAGATGGAAAGTCTCCAATTATAAAAGATCAATATAGAATTTACACTTTTAATATAAATAATTGTCTTGCATGACATTAGCAAAATTGTCAATCTCAATATTAGTTCATTTCTTCCGTCCTAAAAATATTCTCGATTTGATTGAAGCTAAGCTCGTTTTTAAGGCCTGTACTTTACCAAAATACCTCTTCTTTCTTCTACTAGTAACGTAACATTACCATACCGCTCGCAGCCCATCATCTCTTGATCTCGTCCGTAAGTCTCTAGCAACGATATCAAGCTTTGGACATTCATATCATCACTTTACTCTCCATGATCTCTTGATCTCGTCCGTAAGTCTCTAGCACCGATACCAAGCTTTGCACATTCATATCATCACTTTACCCTCCATGATGTTTCACCACCCTACATCCTTTCAATCTATACCTCACATCTGAAGAGAATCGAAGTTGAAGGATACAAAGGAATCTGAAATTTAAATAATGCCTTTTGTGTAGAGAGGAGATGAAATTTGAAATTCAAAAGAAAAAAGTTTTAGACCTACAAAAAAAACTAAATCATAATCTAAAAGAGAAATGAGATCTAAAATCAAATCTGAAATCAATAATAATATGTGAAATCCTTTGACTTTGAAGAAATAAAGAAAAATAAAGAGAGATGATGATGAAGAGAGGAGAATTGAGATAGGAGAGAAAGATTAGGAGAGCTAACGAATTGACGATGGACGAAGGAGAAGTGAGAACGGAGATGAAGACAATGACTATGGAGAGGAGAAAAGGAGGGTTGGTGTCATGGTGGGAGATGATTAATGGGAGAATGGTATTAGTATCTTTTTGTAGTAGAAAAAGGTAGTTTTGGGACGGCTTAAAATGAGAAGTAGAAAGAACGTTTTAGGACAAATATGAGTAATTTTCAAGATTTTAACAATCGTGAAATTTTTCAATAAGTCAATAATCCTAATTTGTTTACATAAATTTTTATTCCCATTCATTCAAAAAATCAAAGATCAAATATCCAAAATGAAAGTTAACCATTGAATCAAAACAACAATTGGATGAAGAAAGATAAAGAGGAGAATTTACCACATTTTTTAGTTTCTATAATTAGTAATCAGTTAATTAATCATTTATTATTAATTATAATGTATCTACCCTTTAGATAGTTTTATAGTTTAATTGTAAGCCTATCTGCCCACGCCTTAGAGGGGGGAGGGGGGAATAAGGCGTATAAACACTTTTTGAGAGCTTAATAAACTTGGTGTTAGAAAACATGGAAGCAATGAAAATAACACAGAAATAAAAAAGAATAAAATAAAAGCACAACAATTTATACAAGTTCATAAAATCTATACTCCATCCAGTACATTAAGACCTCCCCTTCAGGATTTCTGAATCCACTAAGTCTTGCCCTCTTGAAGTTCGTCAGAACAGTATACTAAATTTGAAAAACAACCCTCTCTAATAGGCTTGAGTATGAGATTTCATAACAGCTATCTCAAATTAGGCCCTTACAATGAAGATTTGCACGTTATCTTCAACTTTTCCCCAAAAGATTTGAAGACTATCCTCGAATCTTTTACCCAAATATTTCTCAGCTATCCTTAACTGTTAGAGCGTGAGAATTTAATTGCTATTCTTGAGTGTAAAAATGTGGATAAAAAGAAGATCCACATAGGGGTTCTACACAATGGCCTATTAAGAAGAATTAAGAAGAATGCTTGGCCAATGTAGAATCAAAGCTATACACTTAGAAAATTACAAGAACAACCTATTGAATATAATTGAATATATCTAACTTACAAGCTCAGTGTGTGTACAAAAATATGACAAACAAGGCTTTTGAAATGGCCAAAATAGTAAGAATGAAAAAATTACTAGACACACTTGAAATATAAAATATAGAAATTGGAGCTTGAGTTCTTCTGAAACTATAAATAATTATAACCCTATTTGTAGTTGAATATCAAAAGTTAACAATGATGGCCCTTGGAAGAACTCAAGCTCCAATTTGAGGAAAATTAGATGATTAAATTAGAAATCAGCAAATTTGAAAATTTTGGCCGTTGGAATGGTAGCTATGGTACTGCCTAATGGTATGGGGTCCCGAGTCATGGTATGGGGTACCTTGAGGCAATATCTGAAGTTTTCTCTCATACTTTATTATTATTATTATTACTATTATTATTTTTATCACCCCACTTCATACTGTTGTCTCATTAATTTTTTAAATATTTCTTTTAATTTAAAAAAAGTTACATCAAAGTTTAACTGAAATAATAATAATAGTATTATTATTATTATTATTAATATTCTACCTATTATTATTAATAGTTCACCTTTTCTTATCAATGCTCCACTTTTTTTTATAGTAATATTATTAATAATTTTATTTTTTTTATTATTATTATATAAATCACCCAAAATAAGTCTTAAACATAGAGAAAAGTACCAAAATATGACTTTTCCTGAAATAGAACTTCACACTATGGTATTGTGGCACTGTACATGTGTACATTATTATCCTCTTTGGTAATGTACATGACCATGTTTGGTAGTGTAAATGCATTTTAAGTTCTATTTCGGGAATGAAAACATGGAAGTCCTATTTTAGTATATTTTCAATGTTTTAGTCCAAGTTTGGTCTTTTTCTCTTATTATTATTATTAATACCTCATTTCATATTTTTGTCCCATTCACTATTTTTTTTTAAAATTTAAAAAAAATTTGTTTGTATATTAATGTTGGAAATCGCATTGAACTTTGAATTTAATACTTAGTAAATCTATTTCTTCTTGAGCATAAGATTTTTATCTTTACGAGAGTGAAAGATGCAATGCTAAAGTTGGAGAAAAAATAACATACTCCGTAGATTTTATTATCTCAGAATTAGTTTTTCTATTTTTTCTAATACACACAATTAGGAATACTATAATATAATAGAAATCACCATAAATAAGACTAAAACATAGATAAAAGTACTAAAATAAGACTTTCATGTTTTTATTCTCGAAATAAGACTCTCACTGTGGTAATGTGGCACTGTACATGTGTACATTACCATACTTTTTGATAATGTACATGACCATGGTTGGTAACGTAAATGCATTTTAACTCCTATTTCGGGAATAAAAACATGAAAGTTCTATTTTGGTATATTTTCAATATTTTACTCTAATTTTTGTCTCATAATATAACTTACCATTTATATATTGTCATTATGGTATACGAAATATTACCATTTATATATTATTTATTTATGTTAAGGAATATTATTTTGATTCTAATATTTTCACTTTTTTGTTATACGTATAATAATAAAAAGTACTTATATATTATCATAAAATGCACACTTACTATATATAATTCAAAGTCAATGAGCAAAAAGAAAGAGATAAATATTTATCCTGTATTTAAATAAAGTATTGATATAAAGACCCAAATCTTTTGGTTTGGAAAAATTAACTTCCAGTTCCTTCCTGCTCTTTCCAATTTCTTCTAATGACTTAAAAAAATATTTATATATGATGAATATACAATAACAGTATATATCTAAATTTATAACATTACACCTCAAACACGCATAAGGATGAATTTTTTTATCCAATATTTGAATTTTTTACATATTTATTTGGGTTATCATTTAATTGAGTGAGTTTTTAATATTTAAATTCTTCTAATATTTTTCAACTTCTTCTAGTGTCTTCCAACTTCTTCAACCTTCCAAACCAAATGGGGATTCCGCTCCTCTCCCTTTGGTCGTATCTTTTCGCATAAGTTTTTTAACTCTTTCAAATTTCTTCTAACATGTAATTCTGAAATTCAAATAAAAGAATAGTGCTAAAGTATTGATAGTAAACTAAACAAGCTTAGGGTCTGTTTGGGAATAACGTTAGCTATTAGCATTAGCGTTATGAAAAGGCTAAACATTTACGTTTTCATACTAATATGCAGCGTTAAAATTTTATCCAAAACTCTAACGCTAATCCCTAAACCAGAGGCGGATCCAGGATTTTAAGGCCATGGGGTCCCCTACACCCGGCTACCTCACATTCTCATGTCAAACTACTTCATAAGTCTTAATACTTAACAATAAATTAAAACTAATATTTGAAGAGTACCATAATTGATATATATAAACAAAGTCATACGAAAACAATATCGTAATTTGAATTTGAATTTGGCTAGCTTTTTAAATACATATAAAAGTCATACCAATTCCACTCGACTCCGAATATTTGAATTTGGCTAGCTTTTTGAAATATCTTTGAATTTTAAATTCTGTAAATTAGACATAAAATGAACATTAATACAATAATACTTATCACTAGCCATCCTAAATCAATTTTTTATTGAAGAAAAATCTTTGATTCTTTAATGTGTAAATTATTATATATTACTAAATACTAATCATATATTCATATATTAAAAGTGTAAAATAAAGAATTGGTGAACTAGGGAAGAGAGGAGAAATTTACATAGAAAAGGGAAGGGAAAATGATGTCGTTTTGATGCTAATTACGAAAAAAATTGACTCCAAAATCAAAATTAAAAGTGTAAAATAAAGAATTTCGGAACTGGGGAAGAGAGGAGAAATTTACAGAGAAAAGGGGGAGGGAAAATGGCGTCGTTTTGATGCTAATTACGAAAAAATTTGACTCTAAAAAAGAAAAAAATTAACTCCAAAATCAAAATTAAAAGTGTAAAATAAAGAATTGGAGAACTAGAGAAGAGAGGAGAAATTTACAAAGAAAAGGGGAGGGAAAATGACATCATTTTGATGCTAATTACAAAAAAAATTGACTCCAAAGAAGAAAAAAATTTACTCTAAAAAGTTACAAAAAAAATTGACTCCAAAGAAGAAAAAAATTTACTCTAAAAAGTCAATAGACTGGGAGTCGAACCTCCGTCCAGTGGAGAAGGGGATAGGCGTGCCAGTGAACTCTTCCGCTGAACCAAACGCACTTTTATTGCGAATTTGACAAGCGTTTTTTATATATTAATGTCTATACATACCTAATACCTATATGGACCTACCCCGGAGTCCGTGGGGTCCCGGGACCCCATAGGACTCAAGGTGGGTCCGCCTCTGCCCTAAACTATTCCTAGGCCTTAGCTTTTCTGGCTCGGCGTGCTCCAAGATAATGTAGCCAGCCAAATCCGAGTAAATTACATAAAAGGTCCCTAGTTATAGGTCGTTTTACATATTTAGTCCCTACATATCAAATATTACTAATTTAGTCCCTAATTATTATATTCATTTCCATGAATGGTCTTTTGTTAACATTTTCGTTAAAAACGTGGATGAAATTGTATATTCATACTCCTCTCTCTCCTCAAATAAGCTCCCTCCCTCCTTTCATACTTTCCCAAACTTGTCGTTGAGTTTGAAGCTCTAAACCCAAAACTTAAATGATCATTCTTCCTGTTAAACAAACAATTGAGAGAAGAGTGATGATTTCCGTTTTGAGTTCAAAGCTTCAAACTCAGCGACGGATTTGGTAAAGGAGTGCGAGTGGATGGAGGAAGCTTAATTGAGGAGAGAAAGGAGTGTGAATTTATAATTTTATCTACGTTTTTAACGGAAATGTTAATAAAGGACCATTCTTGGAAATGTATATAGTAATTGGGGACTAAATTAGTAATATTTGATAAGTAGCGACTAAATATGTAAAGCGACTGGGGACCTTTTATGTAATTACTAGCCAAATCCCGTAAAACCCAGCCAGATTTTCCTGTCCTCAGCCCCCCCCCAATATGAATCCGATCCCTCTCCTCCAAAATAGTGAAATACTACTGCACAATTTCCACCTTTTTGCAGTCCCCTACGCCTCCCCTCCCCCCTCTTTCTCTCCATGTGAAAATTTCTAAAACAATTGCGACAATAAAATCCCATCAATTTCTCGACTTGCCTTTTTCTGCTCATTTCACACGCCCAAATTGAAACTCTTTCTTTCGTTTTGATCCCCTTCCTTCTAGAACTCTCTCACTAGGATATCTTTCTCTTCGGGGCTCCATTTCTTGAACTTCCGGCGTGCCAGTGCAATAATACTCCCGGCAAGGCTGCAATTTGAGGGTTTCTCGTCTGCTTTAGTTTGGGTTTAAGTTGATTGTAGTTGAGCAGTTGAAGTTGTGTGATTGGGGAGAGATCTGCTGGAGGGGAGTATTGAATTGCGGGGGTTTTGGATCCGATCGCTGGGGAAACAGCGCCACTAGATGGCGCTGTTCAGGCGCTTCTTTTACCGGAAGCCGCCAGATAGGCTCCTTGAAATCTCTGAACGGGTCTACGGTCTGTCTACTTTGTTTTCTTTGCTCTGTGCTTCTCATTTTCTGCGCTGAATTTGAATCTCTGTATTGAATGTATACACTTGAATTTGTTGTTTTTACTATAGAGTTGCCAATTTGCCTGAGTATATTATAAATTGAGCTCCTGTTTGTAAATTGTTGTTAAGATTGGTTGTGGGTTTACTTGCTGTTGCTTGGGTGAAGTTCTTGTATTGATTGTTTCTTATGTTAGCTCAATAAAAAGCAACTTGCGTGTAAGATATGCTATTTTTGGCCTTATGAGAGCAAAATGTGGAAAATTTACCCTCGTACTATTTCATCAACTTAGGATGAACTCATGCAGGTGGAGTACTTGGGGGGGGGCAGGGAATTTGTTTCATTTGCTTATACTTTGAACCTGGTGAATGGGGTGTGAACCTACATTGAAATGATATTTTGGTTAAGACTTTATTAATTCTGTTTTTTATACAGTGTTTGATTGCTGCTTCTCCACTGATGTGTTGGACGAAGACATGTTTAGATCTTACATGGGCGGTATCGTAGCTCAACTACAAGACTATTATCCCGACTCTTCTTTCATGGTGTTTAACTTCAGAGAAGGCGACAGGAGAAGCCTAATATCTGACATCTTATCCCCATATGATATGACGGTTATGGATTATCCTCGGCAATATGAAGGGTGTCCAATATTACCATTAGAAATGATCCACCACTTCTTGCGGTCCAGTGAGAGTTGGTTGTCACTTGAAGGCCAACAAAATGTGCTGCTGATGCACTGTGAGAGAGGAGGATGGCCTGTGCTGGCCTTCATGCTTGCAGGACTTCTTTTGTACAGAAAGCAGTACAGTGGCGAGCAGAAGACACTTGAAGTGGTATACAAACAAGCACCGAGGGAACTTCTTCATCTTTTATCTCCTTTGAATCCACAGCCATCCCAGCTAAGATATCTCCAATATATCTCTAGGAGAAACCTTGGTTCCGATTGGCCACCATCAGACCCACCTCTAGTTTTAGATTGTATCATACTCAGGGTCATCCCCGTGTACGAGGTTGGAAGGGGTTGCCGACCAGTGGTTCGTGTTTATGGTCAGGATCCTTCTTCAACTAAATCTAACAGAAGTTCCAAGCTCTTGTTTTCAACTCCAAGTTCAAAAAAGCATTCTAGATTCTACCGGCAGGTAATGATAAAATTTTAGAGTATCAGAGTGAAACACTAAAATTAGCTCAGTCCTGAAGCTTTCTGCTCACTTTCATACTGCAGGTAGAGTGCGAACTAGTTAAAATAGATATCCACTGCCTTGTCCAAGGGGACGCTGTCCTTGAGTGCATACATTTGGATGACAAGCTTGGAAGGGAAGAAATGGTGTTTAGAGTCATGTTTCACACAGCTTTTATAAGGTCAAATGTTTTGATGCTAAGTCGCGAAGATGTTGATGTCTTGTGGGATGCGAAAGAGCAGTTTTCCAAGGACTTTAGAGCAGAGGTTGGTTACTTTTCCCCCCTTCTAATTTTTATCCAAACCCGACGGAGTTGAAGCATACTAACTATTGTACCAGGTACTCTTTTCGGATGTGGATTCCGATCCTCCTATTTTATCAACTGAAGCATCAAATGAAGGTGAAAATGAGGCGGGAAGTGCCTCACCTGATGAGTTTTATGAGGTTGAAGAGATTTTCAGCAATGTTGCTGATGGGCAGGATGTAAGGGGCGACTTAGATAACCGCAAACCAGAGAGTAAGCTTGATGATGAGTGCCAAGAAGTAGTTTGGAAGGAGGAATTGGACCATCACACGTTCCAAGATTGTGCATCTGAAGAAGGCAATCACAGGCGTGATGCTAGGATTGATCCTATTCATCCTGAAGCAGATGCCAACATTATGGGTGATGAGTATGTATTGTTAGAGGCTGCTGATGTGTTTCCCAATGATTCTGGTAATGTGGAAACAAGAGGAGTACTTTTGGGTGTTTGTGAGGAATCATTAAAAGTGGGATATAAGCAGTACGGTGAAATTGCACTCTCACAGAAGAAGCTAGACAGGCATGGTTCAGAACATAAGACTGGAGGTGAAATTAATAATAACCAAAAGTCTGACAATGCACCTTTGGCTGCTTCAAAGAAACAATTAGCAAACTCAAAACCTTCATCAGATGCCATTGCAAATAACACATCTAAACAACAAGAATTTCAGGTGAACCTTTCAAGACAGGCGAAGCCAAATGTAGTATCCCGATGGATCATTCCTAATAAAGACTCGTATACCAATTCAATGCATATATCATACCCACCGTCAAGGTACAACAGCGCTCCACCAGCATTTGTGCTTGCTAAAGATTCTCAGCCAAGTGGAAAATCAAAATTATCATCCCTCTGTGCTTCTACAGATGCTACTGCTTCAGAGAATATTAATACTGAAGCAGCTGGTTGTGCACCTTGTTCTCCTTTAACGGGCATTATGATGCCTCAAGTGGAATTAAGTCCCCTTTCAACGTCTCCCGCAGTTGAGAGCCAGGACCTACGAGAGTCGTCACTTCCAGATCAGCATACCAGTTCCCCATCCTCTCAAGTCTTATGTAGAGTAGAAGGTTGTGGTGTCTCACCTTCTCCTCCATCCCAACAGTTCACCTTTCAAGAAAGTAGTGTAACAAATTCTACTACTCACCCACCTCCTCCTCCCCCTCCTCCACCCCCTTTGCCCCTGTTTTCTACTCGTATTACTGTCTTAACCTCATCACCACCAACTCCTACCTCACCTTGTCCCATCTCTACACCAACTACTGTGACAAATTGGATTAATGTAGCTTCTTCTGTGGCACTATCAAAGTCCGTGCCAAATGCACCACCGCCCCCTCCTCCACCATTACTTTCATCATCCATAGTAAAATCTGCT